CCCCCCTCTCCTCTCCCTCTGTACCTAGCCTCTCTCTCTCTCCCCCCTCCCCCAGCTCTAGATCTGTGCCTACATAGTGTGATACGGTGCTCAGCCACGATCAGACCAAGAACAGTGTCTTTCTGCAGGCGCTTGTTTGCCACGGGTGGCACTGAGTGGTCACGCTGAGGGAGAATGGCCTGGAAGAGGGTGGTGGCTCATGAAGGCCACCAGCATTCAGCGGTCCTGCTCCACGTGAGAGCGACCCGCTGAGGCCGGCGTGGGTGTTGAGGCCTGGCCTCCCTTGCGCAGCCGAGCGGCTCCTCGGCACGCGTGTCCGGAGCCGGTCCCTCCTCCGGCAGGTGGGATGCCGGTGGGTCAGTCCGTGGACTGACCCAGGGGCGCTGTACCATCAAGGCGACGACCGAGGGGCCGGCTCTCTCTCACGCTCAAGATCCAGCCGGATGCTTCCCCTGCCGAGAGGCGTTTTTCTCTGGCGTCGGGCCTGCTTGTCACATTGCCCTTTCCTGCACTATCCGCCTTGGCTGATCCAGCGGAGCCGCCTGCTCTGGGGCAGGAGCGACCCTTCGCTGTGCTCGTGAAGGGTCGGGCGGGGGGGTGGCAGGGTTACACTGGCCCCCTGCTTACTGGCCCCAGATTTGAGTGAGGGTTGCAGAGGGGCAAGGAAGGCCCTGGTTTGTTGCCGATCTGCTTATCATTTTGTAACCACCTCTTCGTATCCATCTGCAAAGCCTGGCCGGAGGGACACTGCCAGTTGCTTGAGCACCAGAAGGGGTGCAAATGCACAACAATGAAGTCTCGAAACCTGAAAAAATGGAAAGCTGCGATTTGGAGTAATCTAACAAAGACTGACAGGCAGCTTTGAAGACTGACTCAGGGAGTTCACTTCCCACCATCCTGTGCTGGCAATCCATGCACTACAGAAATCGGGTGGGGAACCAGAGGCCCAGGGGCAACTCTGTCCCGCCTGAGCTCCTCATACCACCCTCCAGGGTTCCCCGGGTGGCCACACTCCCTTCTCGCGGCCTCATCCCCTGTCCAGCTTGGTGGTCTCCCGGCTTCGGTGTGCATCTCCCGCTCCCTGCTAGAACACCGAGAAGCCTCTTCCAAGGCTTATTTACTGGCCTTAAGCTACGAAGTGCTGCTCTTCCGGTTTGTATTTCATCCCTGCCTGTTTTGCTTTCCAGCGGTTTGCAGCCCCCAAGAGCCCTTCCCCAGGGGAAGCTTGTCCCTCGGGGTGGAAGGGGTCCCCCAGCCCGGGTGCAGGGGGTGCCGTTGGAAAGGTCACGGCCTTTTCTGTCTCTGCCAGCAGGTGAAGGACTGGGCAGCGAGGAGGAGGAGGAGAGCGAGGAGGAGGACGTGCAGCAGCAGGAGGGCCCCGAGGTGGTGGAGCTGGACGCCGCCATGGTCCCCGGCCCCTGCAAGAGCCTGCGCTGGAGGGTGGTGCAGCAGGTCGGCGGGGGCCAGGTCCTGGCCGGGGACGGCCCGCCCATCATGGTCCTGCAGAAGGGCTACGAGTGCGAGGACTGCGGCAAGGTCTTCAGCTGCAGCTCGCACTACAGCAAGCACCGGCGCACGCACACCGGCGAGCGCCCCTTCCGCTGCAGCGACTGCGGCAAGAGCTTCAACGTCAGCTCCAACCTCTACCGGCACCAGCGGGCCCACAGCAACGCCAGCGCCGCCCCCGTGCCGGCCGCCCCCGCCCTGATGCCCACCCGGGGCCTGCCCTACCAGTGCGCCGAATGCGGCCGCTGCTTCCGCCGCAACACCGAGCTGGTGACCCACCAGCGGCTGCACACGGGCCGCCTGCCCTTCCAGTGCGGCGACTGCGGCAAGAGCTTCTCCTGGAGCTCGCACTTCGCCCGGCACCTGCGCATCCACACGGGCGAGAAGCCCTACCCCTGCAACGAGTGCGGCAAGCGCTTCAGCCGCAGCTCCCACCTCTACCGGCACCAGCGCACCCACGGCACCAACGCGGCCGCCAACGTCACCCGCGCCTACATCTGCACCTACTGCGGGCGCAGCTTCAGCACCACGCTGCACTTCGACCAGCACCAGCGCACCCACCGGGGCCGCAAGCCCTACAAGTGCACCCTCTGCGGCAAGGCCTTCGCCGACGGGCTGGCCCTGGTGAAGCACCAGCGCCTGCACCTGATGGGCGGCGACCAGAGCCACCAGTGCCCCGAGTGCGGGCAGAGCTTTGGGGGGCGCTCGCAGCTGGCCCGCCACCGCCGGCTGCACGGCACTGCCGACAAGCCCTACGGCTGCGGGGAGTGCGGGCAGAGCTTCGGCACCCGCAGCCAACTGGCGCAGCACCGGCAGCTGCACCTCTCCGCCGACAAGCCCTACCACTGCGGCGAGTGCGGGCTGAGCTTCACCTGGAGCTCGCACTGGGAGCGGCACCGGCGCATCCACACGGGCGAGAGGCCCTACTCGTGCGGGGACTGCGGCAAGCGCTTCGGGCGCACCTCGCACCTCTACCGGCACCAGCGCACCCACGCCGGGGGCCAGCCCCACATCTGCCCGGACTGCGGCAAGAGCTTCAACAGCACCTTGCACTTCCAGCGCCACCAGCGCACCCACCACCTCGACCCGGGCGGTGCGCAGCTCCCCGCCCGCGCCTGTGGGGACTGCGGCAAGCCCTGTGCTGACGCCTCGGCCCGGCTCAAGCACCAGTGCGTGCGCGTGGGCGAGAGGCCGTTCCCCTGCCCCCAGTGCGGGCGCCACTTCCGTGGCACCTCCCACTTGTACCGACACCTGCGCAGCCATGCCCACCGGGCAGGGGAGACTGTCTTTGTGCCCGCCCCGACACAGTGCAAGAAGACTGAGCCGTGCTAAGGAGGCGGGCAGGCGTGTCCCTGCCGTGGAGCAGGAGGCTCCGTGGGCAGGGGTGGCGGTGGCGGCCCCGTGCGGGGGCAGAGGCAAGCCCGAGCTTGGCAGACTCTCAGTCTGTGCCTGAGCAGACTGCCCTGGGTGTAGGAGCCCAATCCAAAGTCCATTGGAGGCTGCTCCCGTCCAGCGTGTTCGTTAGCCCAACGGTCCCTTTTAATTTCTGAGGAACAAAGGATGTCGCACACAACCCTGTCAGGCTAATTTTGGGTGCCATCAGGGGAGGGGAAGGTTCAGCTAATTTTCTTCTCTGGCCCCTTATCCAGGAAAAAGCATTCGGTCAAACACAAGGGTTTTCTTGCGCCTGCACGTATCTGGCCCTGCCCAAAATCCCACTGCTAAACACAGGTTTTCCCTGCATTGCCACTCCTTCCTTCGGCCCTGCGAGGACAGCTCTGATCCCATCGGTTCCCGAGGCGGGCTGAGCACACGGAGGGGGGTCTGTGCACACGACTGCCGTTCTCAGTGGCCAAGTCCCCTTGCCCAAGAGCAAAGGGCTGTTGCAATTGGTTATGAGCATGTCCATGCACCCGGCCCAGGAAGGCCGTTCTTCACCAAGGATGCTCTGATCCTGTGCCCAGAATAAAATTGTGGAAATCACACCCAGCCTCCATAATGGCACTTGGCTGCTATAATAGATCCAAATGACCATTGAATTCCTCAACGTGCTTGTGGCAAGGGTTTGGAGGGGCCAGGGCAGGCTGGGCCTCTGGAAGGAAAAGTGGCAGCGGAAACACTAAAGAGGGAGCACAGGAATCGGGTTCAGTTCACAATGGCCTTGCAGTATGGTTGGTCCAACAATATCTTGGAGCGGCCTTCGAGGTCAGGTTTTGTTCCCAACAGAGCTGTCAAAGGCTGCTCTAAGGAAGGTTGTTGGTTCCTAGGGAGGAAGAGTCACGTAGCACCTTGCTAAGGAAACTGGAGCACCGGCCAGAAGGACGTTTGACTGAACAGTCCTCTTGCAAGGAAAAGGAGCAGCCTGGCGGCGGCTCTTCAGCCAGTGGAAGTGGAGCAGGAGACCCTCCTGGGGCACAGCGCACCCCTTCCGTTGGATGAACAGGGGTCCGTCTGTCTTCTACTCTGTCACCTTTGATGGCACCCAACACCCAATCTGCTGGGACAGCGGCTTCAGCTTACAGTACATTGTGCCTTTGAACCTGCCTTAGTGCCAGCCCCTTAGTGCCAAAAACTAGGCAACGGCATCATGCCCACCGTGGCGAGGCAGTTGTCCGGCGGCTGCATGGATGGCTGCATGGCTCAACAGGCCAGAAGACGCGCCCAGAATGCTCTGCCTGCCCAGCTGGAGGACAAGCCGCCTCACCGCAGGAGGACCGGGTTCTGTGTGGCCCTCCAGAGGTTTTGGCCTATAACTCCCATGACCCTCGCCATTGGCTGTGCTGGACAGGGCTGATGAGAGTCGTGGGCCAAAACCTGGAGGGCCACAGACTGCCCACTCTAGGATTAAACTGCGGAATGCTCAGAAATGATGTTCCGGTTGGGAGGCAACAGAAGTCAGTACAGACCTCCCAGATCTCATTCCCAAACCCAGGAAAGAGGAGTAGCTTTGGCCTCACTGAAATAGCCGGCTGCCCTTGCTCCCTTTGCTGAGAAAACTGGACAACGCGGACAAATGCCTGGTCTATCCATGCAGCGGACTGAAATGGAACAGTCTTGCCAGGTAGAATGGGCCACTTCATTTCAGGCTGCAGGGGGTGGATCCCGGTTTTTGTTTGTTTTTAATTTGCCCCATAAAAGCATTTCCTGCAGGGAGAAACTAATCCACAGCAGAGTGGGAACTAGGTTAGAATCATCCTTTATGTGTAGGAATATGGATGGCACTCCAGCTATCATCTGAAGTGGTACAGTCCAGACACACATACACTATGCTGCTGCTGCTGTGTGTGGACGCATCCTAATTTAGGGCCCAAACAGGATAGCCTGTGCCCCACATAGCCTCCCCACCCCATCTCCAACCCCGCCACTGCCCCCTGCTGCTCCACTTTGCTTCCTGCCTAGTGCTGCCAGTTCTCAGCAAAGCTCTTGTGCCTTTAACAACAGCTTGACATGAAGACATTCGGCAGGTGATGCTTGCCCATCCCCCACATCAGCTCCATATGTGGGAAAAGTTTAGCCTGTTGAATTGCTGCCTGCCATGCAGCCATTCAAGGAGCAAGAGCTCTGTCAGAAGGACAAGACAGCAGTTTGATCGCTGCCCGTAATCCTTGCCACAATATTCTGGATTTTGCAAAAGCAAAAAGAAAACAAAACAGTCTAAAAATGGGATTATATCATTCAAAGATGTTTGGCTTTATGTAGATTTCCTCAATTTTCACAATATTGCATGTATAAAGATGGGTTTGTGTTTGCTGTAGCAGTTTCTCTAACCTGATGCATCCCTTCTCATGGGAGGGGTTATTTCTTTTTTGTGCTAGATCGGTGGGTCCTTCTGTATTGCCAAACGAAATGGAGTGCAACTCGTTTGCCTCGCAAGGAACTTTGCTCATTGCAGCTCAGTGCTGAGGAGGTGCTGAGAATCTCCTGCTTGCAGTTCCCAGTATCTCTTTCAGGAGTCACATTGGTAGTTCAGGGATGCCCAGTGTTAAAAGGACGTTAAGGAAATAACCCTACACACATTTAGACAGAGAAAATGCCATGGCCCCCGACATGCCCCTGTGGTATTGAGAATTTTAGTGCTGATTTCTGTCTAAATGGCTGGATATATTAAGCACCATCTACACATGCAGCAGAACTTCATGTTACGACTGGAAGTTCATGTGCCACCAAGTTTCTGGAATAATTTCTATCAGGAGAGCAGTTGAAAACATGGCATCCCACATCTAGTCTGGAGTGGTATAGCTCAGGCTACCATTTCATTCTAGTCTTTCCCAACCCACTGCTGCCCGGGGGAGCTGTTTGGAAGAGCTAGAAATGGTATTCCAACACCCTCAGCAGTGACCGGCTTGAGGAAGGCTGTTCTAGCAATTCTGGACAAACCTGTTCTAAATTGCCATTGCAGACATGTGACAACTTGTTCTTCCTGTTTGGTTTCACATCAGCTCTGCCTAGTCTCATGTTAAAAACATTGCTGTGATAGATTTTTTGGGCTAATTCACACAATCAGAAAGTGGTAAGTGTTTTCCTGGACTATGCTGCTTCAGGCTACAAGCAAAGGACTGTATGTTTGAATACCCCAGCTATGGGACAGTATAGAAATTCAACAGTAAATAATACTCCTCTGTGAATAAAAAGGCTCCACACACAGAAAACTAGCAGCTTAAGGTTCTCCCTGATATGCCAGCTTTCTATGTGCAGTCTTTCTCTGCAGCTCAAAATACAACAGTACAGCTTTACTACTTGATTTTGCTCAGGGTCTAATTAGTCCACATTGTGGGCTGATGGGTAGGAATATGGGATGAAAATATAAAAAGATGGTGTATACTAAAGTGTGGAGCTGCACTATACCGAGTCTGATCAAGAATCCATCCTACTAGCATTGTTTATGCCGACTGGCAGGTACTTTGGGGAATCTTTCTAACATCCTTTGAATGGGAAGTGCTTGGGATAGAATCTGCGACCCCCTAAATGGGAAAACATGAGCTGGAGTCCTCAACCAGAAGCAGCTTGAGCCTTTCAATGGACTTTGGATTGGGCCATGAGGGAGTTAATAGATTAAGCGGGTAGATTAGATAACAGGGAAGTAGAGCAGAATGGTGTAGTATCCACGGAAAAAATGTTGTGTGAAGCAGGACAGTTCATCCAACAGAAGGTTTCAGATCTCTCTTCACACCCTGTGCAAGCGATCCCCCTGGCACGGCACATCCCTAACTGATGCCTTGAGCGAAACAAGGCAGGATCAGCCCTTCGCACCTGGACACCCTCCTGTGTGGGACTGCAACTGGCTTCACCCCCCGCCAGCTTAGGCTTGTTAAGCAGTGTGATCGGCCGCCTGAGAGGGCGAGCCTGGTTCTCAGGCTGAGCCGAAATAGCAGGAAGGGGAAGGCAGAAAAAGTCTACCGGTAAAGCCATATGGGACGGCCTGCGGCAAAGGATGCCTCCACAAGAGGCCCTCTTAGGAAGTACCTGCATCCGCCCCGTTCCTTCCTCAGTCATGCCTCATGCTTCCCTTCCGGCCTGTTTTGTTGGCCTGTGGCTGCCTCCCTGCACCAAAATTAGCCCCGTTTTCCAGTGAGTTTTCCTTGGCCAAGACAGCCCAGCCCAGCACCCAGGGTTCATTTCACTGTCCTTGAGTGAATAGGTATCAATAAGGAAGTACAGTGCCGGTGTTAACAATGCCTCACTGTGAAGGTTGCCAGCTGTCTCCCTCCCACCAAAAAAGGCCTAGTTTGGCTTGTTCCTCCTGTCCCTGCATTGAAGTTTAATCTGCAGAAATCAACCATATGAAGACATTTCATAGCCTGGAGTTAAACTATTGTTCCAGGGACAGGTGGATGGCCCACTTTGAAAAACCTCCCCCCATTGCCCTTGTTTACAAGAATCAACCCAGCACACTGGAGAGAAATGCTTGCTCTTCCAGCTTGGTGCCCTCCAGGTGTTGCGGATTGCAAGTTCCATAAGTCCCAGCCAGCATGGCCAAAGGCCAGGGCTGAATCAGAGACCACAGAAGAGTTGGAAGGGGCCCCTAAGGCCATCGGCTCCAAGCCAGTGCTCAGTGAAGGACTCCGGGGCAAAGCGCCCCTTACAGATGGCTGTCCCGCTGCATCCTGAATGCCCACAGTGTGGCCCAGCCCGCAGCCTTCCCAGGGAACCGGTTCGCATTGCTTGAACGATCGGGACAGTCTTCCTGATGTTCAGCCAGAATCTGGCCTCCTGGAGCCTGAGCTCTTTATTCCATGTCCCGCACTCAGCTGTGGTCCTTCAAACCATCTGGTCATCACCAGGTTGTGGAATCCTGTGCTACTCCAAAAAAAGTCAGCCTTGTATACCCCATTACCCTGGTCTGCCCCACCCATCCTTCCGGGATATCGGGCCTGCCACACCTTCCTACTTTTCACGGAAGGTCTGTTGCGTTTTGCTTCTCCTCATTCTGAGTTGCTTCTATGGCCCTTTGCAGTGGCTTCTCAGCCATTTACAGATGCAGCAAGCAGTGGGTCGGGAGCATGGCTGCTGAAAGGGGTGATGAAAGCGGGGGTGTGGTTGGGGCAGATGTGTGGCCTGGGGATGGGGGAAAGAAGCAGGAAGCCCCTCTAGTTAAGTTTTACAAGGTACCCAAAAGCCTGGCTTAGACAGATATCTACCATATTTAGGACAGGGGGAGCCATCCCTTCAAAAAATTAGAAATTAGAACAGCTTTCCTTAAGAAATGTTTATCCCACTCATAGAGAATTGCAGACTGCTATCACTGGCAGGCGAACCAGTTGCTCCTGGAGATAAAACCAGTGCTGGGTTAGCCAGAATATGGTGATCAACTGTCTTGAAAGATTGCTGCCTTTCTGATTCAGCCGTGTCTGAAGTGAGCAGGAATTTGTGTGTGTGTGTGTGCGTGTGTGTGTGTGTTGTGAATAAAATAGACTAGGGGAATCATTAATAAATAAATAAATGATTCAGGCACTCTTGTTCTGTGTTGAATGCTGCTTCTTTCCCCCCGTAATTTCCCCTGGAAACATGAAATACAGTTTACGATCCAGGTTCTTTATGACCTGTACAGACCTGACTTCACACGGGTTGGAATAGCCCATAATCTGACACAGCAAAGCCTTTAAACAAACTTGCACAACCACCCCCTAAGAATATCCCGAGTCATCTTTTACCAGGTCGGACCACAAAACTATCGCCTCCAGCCTTCTGCTGGCACATGGCCAAACAGAAAAGCCTCAAGCAGGACCCAAGTGCCAGCAGCTCCCTCTTACCCGAGTTCCCCAGCAACTGGGTACCTGGGCATACTGCCTCTGATACCGGGAGCAGCAAACAGACGCAGGGCTAGTAGCTATGGACAGTCTGGTCTTCCAGGAATGTGTCCAGTCGCCCTTTAAAGCCACAAAGGCTGGTGGGCATCTCCACATTGTGTGGAATCATTGTGTAAAGGAGGTCCTTTTATCTGTCTTGAATCTCTCATCAATGAGCATCATAGGATGACGCTGCTTTCTAGTATTATGCAAAGAAGAAAAGTCTCCCCCTCCACTTTCTCCACAGCATGAATAATTTTCTGTATCTCTGCCGTGGCACCCTTTACCTTTTCCCTGAGCCACACGGTCTCCGCTGTAGCAACCTTTCCTCACGGGGACCCTGGTCAACTTCTCTTTCTTTTCTTTTTCTAACCACAATATCCATTCTTAGGTGGTGTAACCAGGACTATACACAATATTCTAAGTGTGGTCACACCATCAATTTGCCTCAGGGGGGGTATGAGACTGGCAATTTTATTTTCAATTCCTTTTCTAAATAGCCCTGGCATGGAGTATGCCCGTTTCACAGCCACCACACGCACTAGAGTGACATTTTTATTGATATCCACCACAGCTCCCATATCTCTTCCTTGGCCAGTCACCAATACCTCAAATTCTCTTGGCTTATAATTAAAATTAGATTCTTCTTTTTGTTTTTGCGCCCATGTACATCATTTTACATATGCTTACACTGAACCACATTTGCCATTTTGCTGCCCATTGTCCCAGTTCGGAAAGGGTATTTGTTTTGCTTTGTTTAGCTCTTACAATACCTCTTTACTATTTAACCACCCAAAATAATTGGTGTCTTCCTCTGGGCAATCAGGGACGATTTTGTCTTCATCCCCTAAGGGACAGACCAATGTGAACCAAATGCTTCCTGGCTCCTGTTGGCTTCCTCCCAGGGTTCAGCTTAAAGCTGCTTTTTCCCTGTTAGCTCCAGCAGTTTCCATCTGAGTTCAAGTGGAGCTTGTTCTTCTTGTACAGGCCTGGATTGTTTCCTGGTGCCAACTTGGCCCCTGACCGCTGGCTCCAGCTCAGCACCACTACTAGGATACGCAGACAGCGCCTGCTGTCAGCAGCCTTCACAACCAGGCAGGCGATTTCCCATGTGGTCCACACACCCACCATAGACCCAGATGTTTATGTATCCAGTGACTGGATTTCCCACTACCACAAGCCCCCTGCCCCCTGGAAGCACATTCCTGGTGCAAGAGAAAATGCCTCATCTTCTGAGAAATGGATGCCTGAGGATGGATTCGCTTCCATCTTCTGGGGAATGACACCTTCCTTCTCCAAGAATCCCTTTCTCCATGAAAGCACAAGAGTCACCAAGGGTCATCATACCACTATTAGGGCCCAAAGACTTCATTCACCAACCTCTTTGCCTCTCGTAGTTTCTCCAGGCCAGCGACCTCGGCTGCACTTGCCCTGGGAGAGCCAGAAGCCATTCTTGACACATACCAACTTCTGTCTAGCTGGGAAATAATTATTAAGGTGGCAACCTGAGCAATACACTGGATGGCCCCCAACTCATGCTGGCCTCCTAACTTAAATGATTTTTTAAAATCCCTGCTACTGGGTTTGTTTACCAGCAAACAAAGTTGTTTATTAGAGTGGAAATATTTTTGTACTTATTTATTTATAATTACTATTGGAAGGAACGGAACAGCCAGTTGCCCTGGTCGCCTCACTCTGTTGCTAAACTTGCACAGGTGCTTAACTTGCTCATGAGCTGATGCTTCATCAGTGGGGCTCTTCATGCTCTGCTGACTCTGGCCAGCCACTGACTTTCATCCTATCCTACCTCATAGGGCTGTTGTGAAGGCAAAAAGGGGAGAGGGAGGGGGAGGACCCTATGAACCGCTTTAGGTTCCTTGCAAGAGGGATATTATGAAAGGGATGTAAGGTGAAATATAAAATAAATATGTACCACACAGCTTTCAGTTCACAAAGAGTCACACTAGAACTTAATAATCCTGGAAAGTTTCTTCCAGATGAGGCTTTTTATTGCACCAGCTTCAAACACAGTATTTCATTCAGGGAAGGGAGATCCTATATGAAGTTGTCTTCCCTTCACAATCTTCCTGTGCTTCTATCTTTTATCTCCCTGCAGAAAATCATTCAGGAGCAAAAGAAGGATCAGCTACACAGCTGTTTCCTTGACAGTTAACACTAGGACCTCTTTGTACCTTCTCCTATGTTGCTCAAGAGGCCAGGGCAAGAACCAGAGGGTGGAAACGGCAGGGAAGCAGATTTCAACTAGACATCAGGAGAGACCTCCTAACAGTAATACCTGTGCAAATATAGAAGAGGCTGCCTAGGAGATAAGACGACTCTCCTTTCCTGTGGGTTTATGAGAGGTTGGGCAGCCGCCTGTCAGGCATGCGGCAGCTGCATCCTACAGAGTGGGAGGCTGGACTAGATGGAGGCCAAGTTCTTGGAGGCCAAGATCCCTTCTAACTCTCTGAGTCGTCTTTCACACACCGAGCAGAATGCAGGGTAGAATCCTGAACTGGCAGAGCGGACTGTACCATTTCAGATTGCAGGTGGCAGGAACTGAGGAAAATAGTGGTGAGAAAAGATCTTTGCAACCTTACTGACAAATAGAAAGGCCCAGATGGTATCCATCCTAGAGTTCTTATATAACTCTAATATGAAACTGCTTATCTTCTAGCAGAAATATATGATAAGCCACTAAGATCAGCCTCTGCTGTATGGTGCAGAACTGCAGAGTGGCTAATACATTTTAAAACGCAATCCAGGTTTGGCCCTGCCATTTTTACAGCTTCAGAGTCCCCCTTGCTTTTGGAAGCAGTACAAGGTGCCAGCATTCCCTCTGTTATGTTTTTTTGGTTTTACTTGCAGGGAGCTTTTGTTTTTAAATTGTTTTTAAGCTGTTCTTCATCCAGTGGGATTCAGCAGCGGCCCTCTCATTCTACTGCATGTGCAGGCCAGGCCAGGCCAGGCCAGCGCCAACTGTGGAGAACACACTCTGCTTTTTAAGCCCATGCAGTTGGGATTGCTTCATGGCTTCTTTCCCAATCCCGCTGAAACTGCTACTCAACAGCCATGCTAGCTAGGGATGAGGGGAGTTGTGGTCTGACACACCTGGAGACACCGGGCTGGGAGGCGGTTCTTTATAGCAGTGCCATTTGGGTTGCCATACATCGTTGGATTACTGCTTCTAACACCCCCGATCGTTTGCCCTGCTGGCTGCGGATGATGGACATTACAGTCCACGGAATCTGGGAGACCCAAGGTTGGCGACCACCACTTTGTAAGAACCATGCGGACAAGCAGAGAATTTCTAGGAAGCCAGCAGAGGGCTCCGGCTGTCGTATCTTAGCAGAGGGGGCTGCTGTCTCTTTTTCGCTCCTTTTTGCCGAATGCATCCGGGGTTGAACTTCCTGGGTCAGAAAGCGGCTGCTCCAGCAGCAGCTGATTCCATAGTGACCTGGGCGTCCCCCTCCCCTCCTCCCCACCCCTCACAGAGCAGCGGAACTCCCCCCCAGGGGACGCCCCTCCAGCCCAGCTGCTCCCTGTGCCTGAGCCTGGAGGAGGCATAGATCCGGCTGCTAGAATTAGGGAGGAGGCGGCGGCGGCAACCCCGGACTCCCCAGCCATTAACCCCTGAGCAGCTGGAAACTCCAAGAGAATGAAAGGGAGGGGCAACTAAGAGAGCAGAACCCCCCATTATCTCTGGAGGACGCGGGGAGCGCCTCAGAGGGGAGCGCAATCCTTCCCGCGCCCCTTCACTGCCAAGCAAGTCCCACGGGCTCCATGGAACCGGCTCAGAGCAGCGGGCGAGCGTCCCGCCGGATCAGCCCGCTGCTCTGCCTCTAGCCCCTCCGCGCTGCTCCCGGCGCGGCCAGCCCCATCCATGCCTTTGAGCAGCGGTCCTGCAGCGGTCCTTCAAGGCGACGCGCTCCTCTCTGCCTGCATCCCCACGAACTGACATCCAGAGCTTCGCTGCCTGACTGGGGAAGTTCTACCCAGCCAGCATGCCAGCTTCTCAGGGGCAGACCCCGCCTCCGCGAAGTCGAATCCCCATTTAAAGCGCGCAGGTCTCCGCAACTTGTGGCAGTGAGTTCTGCAAATGATTGATACGCTGTGTGAAGCCGCCGCCGCCGAAATTTATTTTGCTTCTTCTCTGACTTGATCTATTGCCTGGAAATGTTATTGGGTGCCCCTGTCCTGGACCAAATAAGGACTGGCCTTGCTGATTTGGCTGGCTTTTCTGAAAACAGCTGTGAATAGCGCTCCCAGAGGCACAGCAAGAAGGACTTGGGCTCATCAGGACTCCTCCAGAAGACAGCTTCTGGCAGGGCCAGCTCAGTCCTGTTGTACTAGAGCAGGTCAAGGAAGGTACCGCACGCTCCAAGAGTGCTCCTGCTAGACTTCCTTTGCTCTGCTAACTTTGTGCAGTTTACCTGGTATGCTGAGACAGCAGGACTGATGCTCCAAATACCTCCAGGTGGAAGCATCCGTACTCTTGCCTGTGATTGACACATCTTGTCATCCATTGTGAAATCTGCCTAGGTAAAGAGCAAGGCCCTTGTTGGCATGTGCATTATTGTTCTCCAAATGCCCACAGCTGGCAAGCAGGTGGCACACGCAAGGGCCCCTTGTATGACCGGCTCCTTCTGGCAGAGGCCACCTTGCAGGAAGTACCAACCACTGGGATTTGAGTCCTTGCATTCTGACATGCTGCACACCATCTAGCCTGCTCTAGCCTCCCCCTTCCCTATATATTCTCCAGGAACCATGCAACAGAAATCCCCCAAAGTTGGGGTTTGTTTGCAGTTTTGGAGTTTTGGGAGGCTACTGTGGGTACACATGAAAAATGTCTGCTGCAGGGAGTAAGGCCAGTTGCACTGTGGACTCTTCAAGCTCTTACTTAGGGGGCAGGAAACGTGCTTAAACACCCAAGTCACGGCTTTGAACAACAGTTTTGCTAAGAGACTGGTAGCATCTTGAAAGTGGCACCGTGTCTCACTGTGGTTGCCAGTCGCTTAGGGGAAGAGGCAGGTTGCTTCTTGGTGGACAATGGGCACCCACCTCCTAGATTCTTCCAAATGCAATGCCGAACATTGACACTGGCTTGGATGTTACAGTGTGGGGTTTTTCCCTTTTGAAGCTGGCGGGGAGAGCAGCAAGATTCCTAGGCACCACGGCACATTTCCATGGCAGTGCTGGCAGCAGTGGGTGCTGCACTGGTGATTCTGCCCTGAAGGGGCCCTGCTAATGCCTCTGTCTTCTGTGTCCTGCCACACAGTTCAGTGTGGAGGATACATGTCATTTCAGTGGCCATCTTCACAGAAGCACCCAGTGATCAACATCATGCAGGAAAACTATGACAATGTGATCTCACTGGGTAAGTGTTTATTTTTGCCTCCTTTTTCTCAGATACCAAGTTCTTGGTATATTCTGTGTTGGAATTCTCCAGCAGTTAAGAGCACAGGTCTGGGACTCAGGCGACTGGGGTTCTAGTCACTGCTCATGGAACCAACTGTGAGACTTTGGGCCACTTACAGGCTCTCAACCCACCCTACCTCAAAGGGCTGTTGTTGTGGTTCTAGGATTGAGAGCAGCAGAAGGAGAATGAAGTAAACTACTTTGAGTTTTTTAAAAACAAAAAGGTAGGGTGTTAATCTAATAAATAAATTTAATTCATTCGTAGAGGCCAGGGACATCCTTCCAACATGCTGGTCTTTTAGGGCATAATCCTCTGTGCTTTTAGACAGAAACAACTCTCAGTAGTTCTCAGCACTCCCCACCTGGCCATGTTGTAGGACCTTGTTTTGTACAAGTATGCACAGGATTGTGTCCTTAATCACAAGGTCTGTCTTATAGGCCAAAAATAATTGCAGGTCAGGGCTGGAAAAGAAACTGCATCAAGCAAATTCTTCTAACTTGAATTTCCTTGCAACAAGTGAGATTTAGGGTTAGGGTTAGGGTCATCTCCCTTTTCAGCATTTCCAATTAAGGAGACTATTGGTTTTAGAATACACCAAAAAGATGAAGTATGTATCTGCAAAGTTGATGAGTAACCTTTTTTTCTGACTGGCTCCCTCCATTTCTCCCATCCCCAGCGGAGGAGATTGCGATCAGCTGGCCCCGGATAACTGCATTTGCTGAGTCCCACAGAAGGAGAGGACTGGTGTCTGGTAAGTCAGCGCAGGGACAGTGTTCCTCCATGCGCGTCTAAAGCAGGGCCGGGCAACCTGTGGCCTTCCAGGTGTCTTGGCCTGCATCTCCCATCAGTCCTAGGCAACAGAGCCACTGGTGAGGGGTTGGAGGGGTCAGTGGGGGAGCACCAGGTGGAGAAGGCTGACCAGGGGTTGTCCTAGTAGGGAAAGTTATTTTTCCAGTGACTTGCTTTCCGATCATCTTGATCTGGGCATACCTGGGACTGAACCTCCTTCCTGCAAAGCCAGTGCCCTGCTCCCAAACTGTGGCCCTTTATTTTCACCACACGGGACTACTTCCATGTTGTGGGGTGGTGGGCTTCAGGAACATCACCTAAGCTGGCAGAGCAGGGGAAGATGCAACCTGAGAATTCTCTTAGGCTGCACCTGATTTTCTGGGCTACTCAGTGACAGGGTTCAGAAAGCACACTGCAGCTCATCATGGGTTATTGAACTCATGATGAGGCTGCTGTGTGTGCAGGGCACATGTGGACACTATTTTAAATATGCAAGCCCTGCTTGGAGACTGTGTCAGGAGGACCCAACAAGCATGGGTTATGTGAGGGCTAAATAACCTCAGCATGACCCTAAAACAGACTGTGGCTTATGTAAGGGTTGCTTAATCCTTGCATACCTACGGTTGCCAGGTTCGCACAACCCTGAGTGGGGGCTGCATATTCAGAAGGGGGCTGTGTGCACTCTGCGGTGTCCACCCTACACCTCGCCATAATGAATGGTTCTGTTGTAGGAACAGCTCCAGTGTGTGACATTTGGGGGGGAATCTAGTACTTCCCCCTTCTTAGAGTTTCGCTGGACACAAGTCTCAAAGTGTTAGATTACGAAGCATCATTTATTACAAATGGAAGAATATTCAGCTAAAGATGCAACAGTTAAACAAAACAAGCACTTGGGAATAACAAGCAAACGAACCATCTGATGGAGCTGCCCGTAAGCCTCAGTACATGGAGAATTGCAGGCATGCAATAGAAGGCTTCCTTTGCCCTCCAAAACTAGGAGAATACAGATCTATTTTAGCTCTGCATGCAAGTAGGGACTGAAGCTCTGCCAGGATTCCTCATATCATGGGAGAGCCTTGCTCCTTCCCTCCCTGTTCCCCAGAACAGCCCCTTCACACTGGCTTTGAAATCACAGGTGCAGCTCCAGCGCTCCGGCTGGCATGGAAAGAACGGTGCTGACTGCCCGGGTGAGGGGAGGCCGCCATGGGTCTGGAGCCTCAGCTCCCTCAGAGTGCTTTCCCAGGGTCAGTGCCAGGGCTCCGGATTTTCCCGGGAAGGCCTAGGCAGCATCTGGTGGTCAAAGGATTGTACCTTGCCAGCTGAAGCAACCTGAACAAAGACCGTTCCCACAGAGAACACCTCGCATCTGAGGCTCACGAGGAGAAGCTGCCTTTGTGCAGGCCTGAGTGTGGTTGGAGTTGTGTTGGCTTTAATGTCAGGGCAAGAGTAGATGAGCTAGTCCGGTTGGCATGTGGGAGTAACTTCATTGGCATTTTACTCAGACTCTGTAGCTGTTCCCTTAAAAAGCAGCTTGACGTGGAAGACATTGAGCACTCGTATAGTTCTCCGTGCCTTGAAGAGCTTTCATGGCTGATTTACTATAAATCAAATTGCTTTTAAGGCAAAAGACTGGGTCACTTTCTTTTTCCTAGTCAGTTCGCAAGCCCATCCCTCTCAGCGTCTGTTTCGTCTTTTCGCAATGTAGATATAGAGTCCGAACAGGGCCAGGTGGAACAGGCCCCGATGCAGGACTCAGCTGTGGCAGCTGGCCCGAGCGACAGTGGGATGAACACCGACCTCCGCCGGCAGCTGGGCCTCATCCTGCAGACGGCTGGCAGGAGCCAGGTGGAGAAGATGCTCCGAGAGCTGGTGAAGGAGCAGAGCCAGGAGGGGAAGCGCAAAGCCCGGAAGAAGATGCCCAAGAGCCCCAAGGATGAAGGTGGGCGGGTCTCAGCGCACCAGCTGCGGTGGCAGTAAGAAAGGGGTGTGTGACATTTGTATGGAGTGACCGACAAACCCTCAGTAAGGCTGCCTCTGTGCCTATTTAATAGAGAACCGGGACATTTTCTGTACTGGGCATACAGGCCATGTCCCAGGGTGGGCGCTTCTGGGCTGTGGGTACATTTGGGGATTTGAAAAACTCTCCTAGATCTCAGCACAAAACGGCCTCCATGGAAGGTGTGGCAAAAAATGAGCACGCTTCCCAAAAGCCTGAGCACAAGGCAGAAGGTAGGGGGCTGAACAACACACGACACACCACAACCCTTCTGAACCTAGTTTTCCACACCAGCAGCAACCCATTTCACAGCAGGCTTGCTCCTGGTAGGAAAATGGGGGGTTTTGGTTAAAATTTGGGGGAGAGCACCTTGGTGTGCCTCAGGAAGGTGTCCAGGGACCCATTAGTGCTTGAGGGCCACACACTGCCTGCCCCATGGCACGCCCTCTGCCTACCCCTATTTGCCAATGAGAGCTCCTCTTTCTCCTGCCAAGTCCCTCCACTCGCCTTTGAAGAAAAGTGAGGACATAGATTAGGTTGGACTCCAATTCCTATCATCCCTGGCCATTGAGGGTGCTGTTGGGGATTGGAATCCAACAGTGGTTGGAGGGCCACGAGATTCCCTCTTCTACTTTTAAGGGTCCCTTGCGATAATATTGCTCATGTGTTCTTGGGTCCAGTGTTTAGCTCTTTCCCCAGGAGGACCTCTAGCAGTTGTGGGTGCGCAGATACGACTTGCCCCTTATGCACTTCCCTATAAATGCACGTGCACGAGCATCAAGATACCACCTGCAGCTGTGCAGGCAGACATTCTGCACCTGCAGCCACTGAGGTTTATTTTTGCATGGTTGACAATTCACTGAGTGGGTTCTGACAATAACCCACCCTCAAGGGTTGAGAATGCATCTAAGTTTGTGTTGTCATTGAACTGTGGGTTATTGTTAAACCATGGGCTATTGTATTGTCTGAACGCAGCTTCACTAACTAGCCATGGCTTATTAACCATGAAGAGAAGCCATGGTTTGTTCTTGGGCTGTGAACAGTGGGTTGTCCACCATGGTTTGTATCTTGGCTGGGTCCAGGCAACACAGTAATCTACTCCCAGTTCAATGACAATCCATACTTTAATCTTGAGCATGACTTACTATGTTGTCTGAACCCAGTCACTGAAGGATGGAGTGATGCATCTCTTCCAGCTTGGATCCCATTTTGAAAACTAACCTTTTGGCTGAATTCCAGTGGTATGTGGTGCTGAAGCCAAATTGTGCTGAGTCCAAGGGCCAAATATATGAGCATATTACTACCAGCATCTAAGCCTTAGAAGAGATCCCAGATGGGTGAGATTGGCCTGCAGGCCAAAGGTTTAGCACTCGTGTTGTGGGACACTACCATTGTTCTAAATATACCTTAAATTCAGTAGAGGATGTTTTTAGGAAAGAAATTATATAGATCCCTTTGGGGAAGGGGCAGCTGGCCTTAAGATGAAAATAAAGATGTTGTGAACACGTTCCCATGTTCATGTGAAATGCTGGGAGGAGACAAGGGTGGCTGGTGCATCTTCGAGCCACACCTCATGCAGCGACTTCCTTGCAGCCACCATCATGGCCACTTTGATGTTCTTGGCTTGGGTGCTTTTGAAGGAAGCAAAACCAGAATTCTCCATGGAAATCTGATTAGAGGACCTGCTCTAATGATGCAAGTGAAGCCAGTTTTGCATTAAGCTTTAAAGCTGCATCCTCCCGCCAGCTGATGGGAAGTCCCGGCATGTTCCCTGCTCCGGCTTTGAGATTTTGCTGTGCATTGCCCACATAATTTCTCATTCATCTTTAGAGCATGTCAGGTCAGAAATACATGTTTTTCAGTTTTAAAACTGGAGAGAGAACAGCCAGCGTGCACAGAATCCTGAAGGCTGCCCTCGCTCTCAGTGAGGAGCAGTGGTCTTTATTTATTTTCGATTTATATCCTGCCTTTTTCCTACAAAGGGCTCAAAGCAGCTTACATCATTCCCCTCCTCCATCTTATCCTTCACAACCCTGTGAGGTAGAGGTTGGGCTGAGAGTCTGTGACTGGCCCAAAGCCACCCAGTTGGCTCCATGGCTGAGCGGGGACTAGAACCCAGATTGCCTGAGTCCCGATCCCATGCTCTTAACCACTACACCACACTGGCTCTCTTTATGGAATATGCACAGCTGTGCCTCTACCCCAGGCTGGTCAACTGTTGCTTCGCAATACATCTAACTCCTTCCCAGATGTTCAGTGCCTGAGAGCTTAGAGACTTTATGCTGCTTCCATGAAATACTCAAGATTGAGGATGGGGAGAATCCCACAGTTCAGAGCAGCCACTGGGAAGGCTTCTGCTTCGCCTCTGGCCTGATCCATGAAGGACATTATTGGAGAGTCGTATTTTATTTGTCTATTATATTCATATCTGGCTTTTTGTCCTGTGAGAAGCGCAAAGCAGTGTACCTGAGCCTGTCCCTCCTGTTTTGTCCCCAGAACAACAACCCTGTGAAGTGGGTCAGGCTGAGAGTCAGTGACTGGCCCAAAGTTACCCAGCGAGCTCCGTGGCCAAGTGGAGACTAGAACCTGGGTCTCACGATTCACTGTACAGCACCCTGACCTCAGCACTACCCTTGTAGCAATGCTCATCTTCATGCCTGGGTTTCCAAGTTCATTTTCTGGAAAAAGGGGGGGGGGGATAATGATGGGTAGAACTTTGGTGAGGCATTTGTGCTTGCTGGGGATGATGGGCATTGCAGTCCACCCCATCCAGCAGACACTGGGCTGGGGAAAGCTAGAGGAAGGGTTGGAAGCAGGTATGGTCCGACTCTCTCTCATGTTCCTTATTACAGCTGTTGAGCAGAATGAAGAGGAGTTGCCTCTGGAGGGGACGGTGGAGCCGCCATCTTCTCCATCCAGGAGATCTAACAGCCCAGATGAGGGGGAAGCCAGTGGCAGTCAATGCCAGCAGGACCCGAGGGAGCGCCCAGTGCAGCGTGGGCTGGCAAGGGAGGGAAGGGCTGCCAGGAAGCGAAAGGAAAACTGTGCAGCCCTGGAGGGAGTGGAGATGCCTGGCGTCTGTGTGGAGTGCGGGAAGAAGAACTTGGAGGGCAGTGGGCGAGGCCACAGCATCCCCACACCAGAGCGGCCGCACCAGTGCCCTGAGTGTGGGCGCTGCTTCCGGCAGCGCTCCATCCTCGCGAAGCACCAAAAGATCCACACCGGGGAGAAGCCCTACCTGTGCACGGCTTGCGGCAAGTGCTTCAACCGCAGCTCCAACCTGGCGCAGCACCAGCGCGTGCACACGGGCGAGCGGCCCTTCCCCTGCGCCTCCTGCGGCAAGGCCTTCACCCAGAAGTCGGACCTGGAGCGGCACCGGCGGGTGCACACCGGCGAGCGCCCCTACGCCTGCTCCGACTGCAGCAAGCGCTTCTCGGTTGGCTCTCACCTTGACCGGCACCGGCGCACCCACCTGCACGGTCCTCCGGAGGAGCCCCCCGCCCCGGCCGACGCCCCCCCGGCGCCCGCGGCCCACCCCTGCCCGGACTGCGGGAAATGCTTCGGGCAGCGCTCTGCACTTTCCAAGCACCGGAAGACGCACTCGGGGGAGCGCCCGTACCCGTGCAGCGCCTGCGGCAAGCGGTTCAGCCGCAGCTCCAACCTGGCCCAGCACCAGCGCATCCACACCGGCGAGCGCCCCTTTCCCTGCGCGGACTGCGGCAAGCGGTTCATCCAGCGCTCCGACCTGGAGCGGCACCAGCGCGTGCACACCGGCGAGCGCCCCTACACGTGCGCGCAGTGCGGCCGGGGCTTCTCCGTGAGCTCCCACCTGGACCGGCACCAGCGGGTCCACCAAGCCCAGGCGGCGGCGGCGGCCGCCCACCGCTGCCCCGAGCACGTGAAGGGCTTCCTCTTCAGCACCGGCGGCAAGCAGGTCCTCAAGCACCAGCTGTACGGCGGCAAGGGGCGCCTCACGCGCAGCGGCCACTGCCTGGACTGCGGCAAGAGCCTGAGCAAGGTCCCCGCGCCGCCCGCCGCGCCGCCCGCGGAGAAGCCCTTCAAGTGCGCCGACTGCGGGAAGGCCTTCGCCCAGCGCTCCGCCCTGGCCAAGCACCAGCGCATCCACACGGGGGAGAAGCCCTTCTCCTGCACGGACTGCGGCAAGGCCTTCATCCAGAAGTCGGACCTGACCATCCACCGGCGCATGCACACCGGGGAGAAGCCCTACCGCTGCGAGGCCTGCGGCAAGTGCTTCAGCGTCAGCTCCAACCTGCTGACCCACCAGCGCACCCACCTGGGCGAGAAGCCCTACGCCTGCGGCGAGTGCGGCAAGGCCTTCATCCAGCGCTCCGAGCTCACCATCCACCAGCGCACCCACACCGGTGAGAAGCCCTACAAATGCGGCATCTGCGGCAAATGCTTCAGCCGCAGCTCCCACCTCAACCGCCACCAGCGCACCCACGGCAAGGACAAGGCCTCGGCTGGCCCCGGGGCAGCGCCTGCCGCCGCGCCCGCCAAGCCTGCGACTCCGCTGCCCTCCTCGGCCTTCTCGGCCTCCTTCGCGTCCCCCAGCCCTCTCCCGGCCTTGCCCTCCTTCCCCTCCTCGCCCTCCTCCCTCCCCATCCCTGCTCTGGAGCTGCCCTGGTCTCTCCCCTTCTCCTCCCGAAGCTTTTCCCATTCGGCGTTCCCGTCCCCCGCCCCGGTGGGGCCCAGACCTCTTCTCCAATAAACAGCCGCCTCCCCTACTCTCTGCTTTCCATGCCTCGCGGTCTCCCCGCCGGGACAGCCCGCCCGCTCTGCCTGGGCCTGCTCTGAGCCGCTTGTCTGTCTGTGTGCGAGGGCCACCTCCTCACCTCCCCCATCCTGGCGACTTGGGCCTTGCGGGCTGCATCCAGACGGCCAGTCTCTGGGGAGCGCCTGCAGCCCTCCCGGCGCGGCATTTCCCTTGCAGGAGGTGAAATCATTTCACTCCCAGAGAGAACCGTAACGGGGGGAGGCCACACTGAGAAGATCTTGCCCCGTGCTGGGGAACTTGCAACCCTCCCGATCTGGGGAATTGCTACTCCCATCTTACTTTGCCAGCGGGTAGGCTGGTTGGGGCTGATGGAAATTATAGCCCAGCAATGTCCGAGGGAGTGTGTGGGGGAGGCTGCAGGTGCTTCTGCTGTACTCGGAGCTTGAGACTGATGCGAGGGAACAGCCATACATTCACTTTCTTGCATGCGCGCACACAAACCCCCCTGCAGTCTGAAATGTTAGATCCCAGCCACCTGAGAGACGCTGCAGTGGGGGTGGTTTGCTTGTGGCCATCCAGATGTTGCTGGGCTCCATTAGTCTGAGACAAGTTTGCTAATGGAGGGGGATAATGAGAACTAGTCCAGCATCACCTGAAAAGCTGCAGCCTTCCCTCCTTTAGTCCCCCACCTCCACCATTTTGCCCCGTTACAAGAGGACATAAGAGCATAATTTGCCCTCGCTCACTACCACCCTTTTGTTTACACAAGGTGATTTTCAGAGAGTGGCACAGGGCTTGTTTATGCCTCTAAAGCACAGGAGGGCACCCTCCAGTCTGGGCCTCAGGTGGTCCATGGAAGTGGCTTGTTCAGCCCACGGAGACCTGGGCCCCCACCACTGGTCCCACCGCTCCCTTCTTCAGTCCCCACCCTCTAGGCCAAAGGCTGGCCAAGGCTCTGTGAAGTGAAGGAGCAGCAAGAGGAATCCTCCTGTTTCCTCCTGTCTGTGAGTCACATAAGAGGGAGTGCAAAGGGAGGGTGAGCACCAAGCGCGGATCAAGAGGATTTCCCTGGGGGGTGGAGGTTGCAGCTGGGCATTCCTCTGGCATTTGTAGTAGCCCCTGCCAGCACGGGATGAGTTGGCCCAATATGCCCTTTGCCTTACGCAGGCAAGCGTGGCTGGGCTGAGGTGCCTTGGTTGCCCTGCCTCTTCTCCCCAAGCACTGCAGGGCCCTTCCTTCCAGCAGGCCCACAGGGGCCAGATGATGCCAGGAAGCTGCGCCTCCCTCCTTTGGCACCACGCAACCCTCAGAGGCTATCGGAAAGGCCATCAGGTCCACCCCCCTGCTGTTGCAGGTCACCAGCTCACACCATTCCTCACCAGTGCGCTCAAAGGACAGGACGGTAACCCTCAGTGTGAATGTGCCCCTAGGTGCTCTGGATACAAGCAGCAGATGAACAGTGGCGATAGAGCCCCCTAAGTGTGCAGAAATCCCTTCCCTTCATGGACGCCAGTGTGTGAACAAAAGGAGTGTGGCCCCAACATAGGTGAAGAGGTGCCCCACGCACGCTGCAGTTGCACCTCCGTGTCTAGAGCGGTGGTTCTAATTGGCTTCAGTGATTAGGAAGTTAGAAGCCAAGAACTTGTATTCCAGAATAATACTTTAATTAACTTGGAATAAAAGATGCAAGGCTATTGCCACCTTTCTGGCATTAGGAGGAAACTGCTGTGCTTTCCATTCTGGAGATGGGGCGTACGCTCACCGATGATTTCCCCTTTCCATTTGCCCTACTCTCTCTCTCTCTCTCCCCCCATCCTCCAAATCCTCCAGCTTTCCCCCCAGTGGTCCTTCTCACCCAGAGCAATTCAATGCAAATTTAATTCCCAAGGAGCTCAGTGGGCTGCCAACCATCTAAGTTTGTTCAGGGGGTTATAGCCTTAGCTCTGATTTCTCATGCCTTCTGGCATTTGCACACCAAAAGCCCCCTTGGGGCTCCCTTAGGTAGGTGACACCTACTCTCAGGGATGGCATCTAACTTGAGTGGGCCCTCAGTCTGCTGCCATCACCCCATCAGCACCATCCTGCCCCTGTGGTATCTTCCATCACCCCTCCTCAGGACAGTTGGACCTATCCAGTGCTGCCAGCATCCTCCGCCAGCTTGAAGGGAGTGGAGCAGGCATTTGGCACCTGTTGGGTTTGGCCGGCACCATTTTGTATGCCCCACAATGCAGGACTAGGAGCCAAGCTACAGGGTTGATCCTATCTGCCACCCACCTGCCTGGAGAGGGAGGTTGGTTGTGCCTGTTTTTGCATGAAGGTCATGCTACTGAGTGAGCAAGCAGATGAGCTTGCCCAGCTGGAATAGCAGGAAGCTGGTGCTGCAATGGCAGTTCCTGGGCTCCCGCTGGCCCTCCTGGGGGCGCAGGCCATTAGCAACTGCCCACCAGTGCTGAGCGTGCCCACACTATTGGTCTGAATGGTTTTTATAGTCATCCCCTCTCCCCAGGGAACCCCAGGAAGGCCTGCTCTGTACTTGCGGCAGATTTAGGCAGGAACAGAATGGTGGAGTTTGGAGTTAATACAATTGCACGTACCATTTTAATCGGCAAGGGAGAGCATTGTATTTTTGAATGCTCTGCATGGCAAACAGCTTGCAACTGGAAAGCAACATATAGAAAGTGCTGTTAGAAATGTTCTCCAAGGTGTACTGCCAGGTTTGACATGGGGGCTTTCAAGAGAGTATCTCCTGCCTTCAGTCTAAAGTGATACATCCATGCCACCTCATCTGCACCCAGTATTACTTCATGGATAGTTCAGGCCAAATTCTAAATTCCCTGAAAGGAATCTGGGGTCCCTGACCAGAGAGTTCTCTCATCCAACTACATTTCCTAGGATTCTTTGTGTGAAAATTACGACAGTTCAACTGGTAAGGTCCCTCCCAGCCTTGCTTCTTAAGTTTTTAGTATGGCACTGTTAGCGCTCTCAGCACCTGACGGCCTCCCCATTTGAATTTTGTGTCTTCTCACATCTGGCATTCGTCTGCAGGGAAGGCTGCCTTTCCCCCCAGCGTGCATTGCCAGCATCTATCACTTTGGTGCTATATCATATGGTGCATTTACTGAGATGTTGCTTGGGGGTGGAGACTGCAGAATGTCCTATTTAGGAAAGACTTAGAACAACCGATGGAGTTTGGCTGGCTGTTGCCCAAGAAGCAGCCTCCTCCGGAATTACATCCAGCGAGCAATATGTGCCTTCTTCCTCTGTTCTGGAACTGATTGCATGCTCTGGCTTGAAGCTACCTATACTTCTGGCAAAGTATGTTGTTAAAATATCCAGTGGGGAAAGGCTCCCGAGTTCTCCAAGTTCACATTTTCCATAGTTCATCAGATTTGTGAATGTCAACAAACCGCAATGTTGGTGAGCTTTTCACCTATACGCACATGACACCCTTTTAAATTAGTTGTCTTCTTGCTGTTTTTTGTTTGTATTGTTGTGGGGTTGTACCAAGTATAAAGCTGACTCTATTATTATTTTTTAGTTAGATGTGAAATTTTTAAACTGTGAAAAAAACAAACAAGGGGAAATGTTGGGCAAAAAAAATGCATCATGCTTAAATGTTGACATCAGTTTCAAAAGGAAAAAGTAAAAAGAGAGGAAATTGCATTGTCTTCCTTCTCTGCCTGTCTCCCATTTACACTAATTTTGTTAAGATCATAAAGCAAGAAAATAAGATGGGTGCTTTTTAATTTAGACTGATCACTTTATAAAAACTGGAATTCAAGAGGACCAGAAATGTATTCTTAAAAACAATGAAAACTTAAAACTTAAAGATTCTCAGGAATTTTTTTAGAGTTGCTATATTCTGTGGTTCACAAAAGGATATTTCTAAACCTTGTATTCTCATATGATGGACAAACCTCAACTCTATTCCTTGGTAAAGTTTCTTGCAGATCCCAGTAAGCTAGCTAGAGCATTTTGGCGGGTTTGGAACTAAGTGTGTGTTTGGGCACTTTGGGTGGGGGAGCAAGGCTTGTATTACATTTCCTGGAGTATGAAAAAGAATGACACCAACAGATGTCTATTTCACAACAATCCCAACTGGTGGTAAGATAATGCGTTGTTACTAGTTTTTAAAGTGTGTGTATGAAGAACAGGGAAACTTGCACATTGGTGCCTGTGGGTTCCACATTGCCTACACCTGGAATATACCGTGCAAAATAAACTACAATTTAACACTTGTTGAGATCTGCTGGAAAAAGAGTGCTAGAAAAACTGATACAGAGCACCAAGTGACATAGCCAGGGCATGCAGAAATGCAGGTAGACAAAACTAGCGGTGGTGTGAATTGTTACTTCTTACGGGGCCGATGTTGTAATATTTATTTCTGTTGTTGCCATCTAGTGGTAAAAAAAAGTTCAGTCTTTAATTCCGACATGAGCTTTTCTCTCCTTCATTTTCCATTTGTTCTTATACTGGTATGTTGATTTGTTGTTAGTCTCAAAGTCGTGTCCGACCCATCGCGACCCCATGGACAACATTCCTCCAGGCCTTCCTGTCCTCCACCATCCCCCGGAGTCCACTTAAGCTCACACCGACTGCTTCAGTGACTCCATCCAGCCACCTCATCCTCTGCCGTCCCCTTCTTCTCTTGCCATCTATTGTTCCCAGCATTAGGCTCATCTCCAGGGAGTCCTTCCTTCTCATTAGGTGGCCAAAGTATTTGAGTTTCATCTTCAGTATCTGGCCTTCTAAAGGGCAGCCAGGGTTGGTCTCCTCTAGGACTGACCTGTTTGATCACCTTGCGGTCCAAGGGACTCGCAGGAGTCTCCTCCAGCAGCACAATTCAAAGGCCTCAATCCTTTGGCGCTCAGCCTTCCTTATGGTCCAGCTTTCACAGCCATACATTGCAAATGGGAAAACCATAGCCTTGACTATACGCACTTTTGTCGGCAGGGTGATGTCTCTGCTTTTTAGTATGCTGTCTAGATTTGCCATAGCTTTCCTCCCCAGGAGCAAGCGTCTTTTAATTTCTTGGCTGCAGTTTCCTTCTGCAGTGATCTTGGAGCCCAGGAAAATAAAATCTGTCACTACCTCCATTTCTTCCCCATCTATTTGCAAGGAAGTGAGAGGACCGGATGCCATGATCTTTGTTTTCTTAATGCTGAGTTTCATGCCAACTTTTGCACTCCTTCACCCACATCAAGAGGCTCTTTAGTTCCTCTTCACTTTCTGCCATTAGAGTGGTATCATCTGAATATCTGAGGTTGTTGATATTTCTCCCAGCAATCTTAATTCCAACTGGTGATTCATCTAGCCCCACCTTTCTCATGATGTGCTCTGCATACAAGTTAAATAGGCAGGGCGACAGTATACCGCCTTGCTGAACTCCTTTCTCAATTTTGAACCAATCAGTGGTTCCGTGTCCAGTTCTCACTGTTGCTTCTTGACCCGCATATAGGTTTCTCAAGAGACAAATAAGATGGTCTGGTATTCCCATCTATTTAAGAACTTACCTCAATTTGTTGTGATCCACACAATCAAAGGCTTTAGCATAGTCAATGAAGCAGATGTTTTTCTGGAACTCCCTAGCTTTCTCCATGATGCAGTGTATGTTGGCAATTTGATCTCTAGTTCCTCTGGCTCTTTGAAATCCTGCCTGTACTTCTGGTAGTTCTTGGTCCACATACTGCTGGAGCCTAGCTTGTAGGATTTTGAGCATCACTTTGCTAGCATGTGAAATGAGTGCATTGGTGTGGTAGTCAGAACATTCTTTGGCATTGCCCTTCTTTGGGATGGGAATGTAAACTGACCTTTTCCAATCCTGTGGCCACTGTTGAGTTTTCCAAATTTGCTGGCATATTGAATGAAGCACTTTTACTGTATCATCTTTTAAGATTTTGAATAGCTCAGCTGGAATATTGTCACCTCCACTAGCTTTGTTGTTGCTCAGACTTCCTAAGGCCCATTTGACTTCACATTCCAGGATGTCTGGCTCGAGGTCAGTGACCACCCCATCGTGGTTATCAGGGAAGTTAAGCTCTTTCTTGTATAGTTCTTCTGTGTAATCTTGCCACTTCTTCTTAATCTCTTCTGCCTCTATTAGGTCCCTGCCATTTTATTCCTTTATCATGCCAAAATTTGGTATATTGATAGCACCAACTAAAGAGGAGGCTGTTTTGCTGCCACCTAATGGTAAAAAGACTAAGTGTCTCCTTGGGAACTGAGCGTGCTCCAGGCCTAAGCTCTGGGATGTGGCTCCAAGATGGAAGTCATGCAGAACCAAATGAAGGAACATACCAGTCCCGGTATCTCCCTCAGGGTGCAGGCTGCCCTTGTCACAGGTGCCACCAGTATGTTGATGATAAGAGTTCACACCAGGGTGGTTAATAAAGTACATGGCTTAAAGGCATGTCATGCAATTTTGTTTGTTTGGTTGTTTGTTTGGGTGGGCTAGGTGCCTTCTTGTGCTTTCGGAATCCAGATGATGTGACCCACCATGGGAGTGTGTCATGCAAGCCCAGGGAGCTTTTCCAGCCTTGCGAAATGGTTAGTGGGTAACCATTCCAGTCTTGCCTGCCACCCTTCAAGTGCTTTTGGGAGTGACTGACGGAGACTTCCCACCTGCTTGCCACAACTGCAATCCATGTGGGGCTCACTGCATCTTGGTTTTGGCTGGGTGTCAATCTGGCTTTCACAATTCCCACTCTGACTACGGTTGCCAGATTTTGGACCTAATTTTGCAATTAATTGTGGACATTATTTTACAAATTTTTATTGCCACCCTTTCACAACTGCAAATGGGTACAGTGCCACCTGAGACGAAAAGTAAGTTCATTCTGACCTTGGAACTGTTGGACGCCTGTCAAAAAACAAGCTGTCAAAGCATTCCCTGCATATGAATGTGGAGTGGTGCCTCAGTCCCCCCCTTTTGCAGCAAGATCATTGGCATTTGGGGTCGGGGAGCTCAGGTACCCCAAGAGTGCCTTTGGTTTTGCACTTGTTCCCAAGATTCTGCCATCTCAAGAACATGCAAAACTAGCAGACGTCCCATTTATAGGAGTAAGTACATTGACACCTGTCAAAGTTCTGTTTTAAAGTGAGATTTAGAAGGGGTTACTTTTTGCTTTTTTGTCTAGAAACTGTACAGATAGGTGGACTCTGTGTGACATTGCCATGAGAAGCTTCATTGCGGATCAGTCTACCAGTTCAGATGTATTATCCCTGCCCTTCTACCCACCCCCTGCCCCACCTGTCGAAAACCCTAAATGTCTTCAGTTTAAATGGAGCCAAATTGTGCTTGCCTGTGCTATTTTCCTGATTGGTACGAAATCATGCTTCCTTCCTTCAGCTAGCTCCATCGCAAACATTACATGCAATGAATATATATTAATGCAAAAACTTGGCTCCCACGCCCAGCCCCAGCATGATCATTAAGCCAATGAGCGGCCTTCTTTCATGCTGGGAGATACTTGCTGGAACATGTTGGTCCTGTGACATGCATTGCACATATCTGGCCATGCAGCATCTTTCGCAGAGATGAAACGCTGCTGAGGCAGGCTGTGTGTCTGGCTCCAGGAAGGACCATGGCCCAGTCTTTAGTCCTTGTCAATGTCTTCCTTTTCTTTATTGCAGCACTGCTTCTCTATCTCTATAGCAACACCTTCAGATATTACTTTAAGGTTTGTTATTTTAATGGCTGGATACTTGTCTGGTCTTTTGTTCTGCTTCCTATCATAGCACTTCGGGGAAGAGATGTGGCAAATGTAAGGTAAGTAAGAGGTTAGTACAGTTTGGTGGTGGTGGTGGTGGTGATATTTGGGGGCCATGAGACATTTTCTGTGTCCAGTGGCCATGAGGCATCTTCTGTGGGGCCATAGGATGCTGGATTCCCCCTCTGAGATGGGAGTCGGTGCTTTCCTGAGCTTCGGCCAGCCTCCTCTCCCCTTCCTAAGTATCATCTAAAAAATCCATCTAGAGAAATATGGGGGGAGGGGGAAATGACGATGGCCCCCTCCGTTCCTCCCACCTGCACTGAATGATCAGGAGCAACTTCCAGTTTAGTCAAGGGCACAATAGGTCTCAGCCCTTAGTGGCATTGTGCTGGGATACCATATAGGCGTTGGAGGGAGTGACACAGAGGGCCAAGCAGTCGGGTGGAACAGGAGCAAGAAGGGGAGGCTGTGGGAGAGAAGTATAGAGCTGTTGTGTAAAGACTAGAGTCCTGACATGGGTGAGGTCAGTGTGTGTGTAACTTAACGTAGAGAGTCGGTTCACTGTCGTATCCCATCTGTTATGTGGTACAGACCTTCTGGGACTGCTGCACTCCAGAATACAAATAGTGGAGTCGCCTGTTTGCAGACCCTGCTTCATAATGTTTTGCAGCTCAGCCCTGATGTTAGCTAGCCTGATAGCCCAGAACTTTTCTGATGGAAGCTTGGTTATACAAGAATAACCAAAGAGGGCTGGCCAGAGCAGGAAAGCCTTCTGCATGATTGCACCCTGGCCAGTGCAGCTCCAAAATAAGGCATCGTCCTGATGTGGGGGAGAAACTTGGGCAGGAGCGTTCTGTTGCTCTCATGTCCTGTTTGAGGGTTTCTCATGGGCAGCAGGTTGGCCACTCTGCGAGCAGAATGCTGGACTAGATGTGTGGGGCATAAAATGACTGAAACCAGAATCACAGGTCAAACAACAGAGAAAGGAGGAGAGCAGTAACATGGGATTTGCATTTCTCAGAAACTACTACTACTCCTGTCTAAGCCACAGATTTTCCTATCCACTCCCACAAAAAAATTACATTGCTACTTTGTACTTTCCTTACTTAATGGATTTTCTGCAGTTAAAAAGTTGGGAAAAGTCATGGGAAAACATGGGAGGATGACAACTAGAGGATGACAGCTGAACAAAAAAATGTGTGGAGGATGCATTGGCACTGCATTCTTGTCCAGTATCAACATCTGTGTGACGTCACACACCTTGTTTTGCCTCACATGGCCATATGGGGAGTTGTTTTAAGAACTGCACTACAGTTGTAGTCCGCCGTTCCTTTAAAATATTCAGAGCAATCTACAACATTCCTTCCTTTAATCCTCATCACAGCCCTATTAAGGTAGCTTAGGCTGAGGCAGCAGTTGGATTCACATGCTAGAGCAAGCAACCCTGCATGGTCACACACCTTGTTTTGCCTCACATGGCCATATGGGGAGTTGTTTTAAGAACTGCACTACAGTTGTAGTCCGCCGTTCCTTTAAAATATTCAGAGCAATCTACAACATTCCTTCCTTTAATCCTCATCACAGCCCTATTAAGGTAGCTTAGGCTGAGGCAGCAGTTGGATTCACATGCTAGAGCAAGCAACCCTGCATGGATTCCATGGTGCACAATTTTTCGCCTGGATGTGGCTGATGGATGATTAAGTGGCTTCCATGCTGGCATGGTTTCTGTCCTCCTGATGGTGCATCCCATAAGCCACCACGCCTGAAATTCCCATGCTGGATGGCTGGAGCAGCTCCTGTAGTAGTTGCTGCTCCTTCCAGGGGATTCTGTGGTACGTGCATATGAGGACTGTGGAAACTATGATGCCAGGTTTGGATAATCAAAGAAACCATGGTCAAGTGGGGAAACCATAGAACAGACCATTGTTTCTTACTGTGGTTTCTAAAAACCAATGTATGATGCTGAAATACTATGACGGTGCAGACAACTCAACAGCCCATCCTGCACAAAAACCCGCTGTGGTTTGCTGTCATGCAAACCTGCCCAGTGTGACTAACACAAGATAACCAGATGAACCTCATGGGTGAGCAGAGATTTGAACTTGGGTCTCCGCAGTCCTGTGCAACATTCTTCACTACATCATGCTAGTGGCCTGCAGAGCCATGTTCAAATCCCCACCACCTGAGAAGTTCATCTAGTGACTTTGGGCCCCTGCAAATAAGCAGACAAGGAGTGTACAATCTTTTTGGCCCCCAAGGTAACACTGGCTGCTTAGTGCTGTGCATGTACCTGGGCAAATGTACACACTTTCACACTCATTCTCTCTTCCTCTCTCTCTCACACACACATACACTGGTTTCCTGGAGGTGGGAGGCTGCAGCTTCCTCCTCCTCCTAGCCTTCCCTGATCTGATTGTGGCTTTGCTATTATCAGCAGCAAAGCAGCATTCCTGCCAGCAAATGTGCTGTAAATCTGCTGCTCTGGTTTTTGGGGAAGTGGAGGCTGTATAAATCCTGTGCACTGTGCTTCTTGCACCCCTGGAACAGGCTATAGCAGACAGCTGTCCTGTTCATAAAATTCTTCCTCTGTTCTTCAGCTGATAATCGAAAAGTGCATCAGTGTGCTCTCTCTCTCTCTCTCTCTCTGTTGATTTAGAATCCTTCGCTTCATGATGCTCCCTTTGAAATACCTCTATGGTATTAAGATCAATGTGCAGGGTGCTACAAACCTAAGCCTGCAAGGGCCATATGTCATGGTCTGCAATCATCAACGCAATCTGGATTTCCTCGGTATGTTGGCTCCATGTTCACGCTTTGATCGTTTTCATTCATTGAGTTGGGAAGGCCAGAAAGGCGGTGTGCTATGAGCCAGGAGTGGTCCATACACATGTCTACCTATAAAAGAGTAATCAATGGACGCCAGTGGGAAAATTACCAAAAGCAGTAGCAATGCAGAAATCCTTCGCTACTGGGGTCAAGGATAGATTGATGGCTTAATGTGGAAGTACAGGAGTACTAAAATATAAGCATTAAGGGGGTTTAGATAGCTTATTTTGAATTGGCCACAAAATGTAACAAATCAGTGAAGTTACAGAAGACAGACAAAGGTCACCAAATCACCAATCCAGGTCACTGACCAGGTCATGGTGTACCCCCTGCCCCACCCCACCCCCAGCAAAACCCTCCAAAAAAACCTTCCCTGACCCAAAATGCAACTGACATTTCATACCTGACCATGAGCAAAACCAGTCTAAGCATGATCAAAATAGAAATGCAGCAAGGTCCATCACCTCTGGTTTTAGCCGGAACAAGCAACTTTTAGCCTTCCAGATGTTTTGGCTTATAACTCCCATTATCCTGCACCACTGGCTGGCCTGACTAGGGCTGATGGGAGCTGTAGGTCAAAATATATGGAAGGCCAGGCATTTGCCACTCCTGGCCTCCTATCTTGAATACTGTTTCCTGTAGCTGCTGAGCAAACTCATGGGTGACCCTTCCTGACAATGGACCGAGCAAAGTGGTGCTGAAAGGAATGAGGCACAGCCACTAGTCCTCAGGAGGTTCTGGCCATCCCAGTCTCTGTTTATTACATTTCCTCCCCAACACTCTTCCTGCTTCCTCCTGTTTCCTCCTCACAAGAATCCTGTGAGGAAGTGTAGACAAAAACACATAGGAATATATACTGTCCACTCCCTCTGAGCAACTCCAGGTACTTTTCTCCTCAGAGCAACACTATGACACAAGTTATGTGTGACTAATTTAAAACCATTCTGAGAGAATGGTGGCTACGCAGGGATTTGAACCTGGTCCTTGGTAACTACCACCCCTTCCTGCATCTGACACTGGGAAGGTCACTTCATGACACTGTATGAGAAGGCCGGGTGGCAGATAGTTAGGTTTCATGCACCTTTCTTCCCAGGGATGTTCCAGATCTTGCCAGAGAGAAGCACCCTTATGGTTAAGAAGGAGGTCCTACACTATTTGGCCACTGGTGTGCTCTGCTGGCTGAGTGGCTTCATTTTCATTGACTACAAGAAGAGAGAAGAAACGATCAGGATACTTGCAGCAACAGCAGACACCATGGTTCGAGACAAGGTGAGTAAGGAGCTGGGATGCATATCCCTGCTGCACAACCATCAAGAGCCCAACTGGGCCTTCTGTGTTCCTGCACTCAGAGGCAGCTATATACCAACCATAATACAGGCGGGGACTGAACTCACAACAATGAGACCCCATAGTCCAGTTCTCCAAAAGTAAATATTGTTGTTTCCATCCACAGAATATTAAGAACTAAGGTCTGAGCTGAAAGAGTTACACCCAGGAGGGTTCTGCATGATGGAGATGGTCCACGTTACATGCTTATTCATAGGAAAAGCAGGTCTCTGCCTCACGGGCCCCCAGTCAGCATGCCTATGGATGGGTCTGGGGTTGCCACGTCTTAAACTCCATGACTTTACGGCCTCCATGCAACTGACCCATGTGGTCAACTTTCAGAACTGCAGCTAGGAATGTGTCGTTCTTGTACAGTGAGCACCTCTCAGGCGCTGGTTTACTCTGGGGCAGGAAGGGCTAAAAAGGCTTTTGATGGAGGCAGCAGGGCCCTTGCCTGAGCAACAAGGTCCCCCCATCTTCCTGGTATCCTGGTCATTCTTTCCTGCCTCCTTCCAAAGAGAACAGGACAGAAGCTTTATAACTAAAAGGCTTTTAAAAGTTAAAACTGGGCAGCTAAGCTGGCTTTGTAGTACAGGAGAGGGGTATTGCAGAAGTCACTAACAAAAGAAATAAGCAAAGTTAGAGCTCTTGAATGAGAAGAAGTTAATTCCAAACTGAAAAAGCAAACCACACCTGTCAGGTGGTCCCTCCTGTTCCAGAGCTAACTGAAGCGTCTGACAATTATCAGCTGATCTGCCAGCTTAACTGAGCATTGTGGCCTTGGATGAATGATATCCACCCCGCTGCAGTGGCACACTCACTAAACTTTCCAAGAGAATTTGACACTGTCCGATTCTCAGTGACGGCCTGGGTCCATTGACCTCGTAGACATTTCAGCTGCAGATTCTGCCCCTGTCCCCTTCATTGGGATCAGAATCTGTATCCACAGCCTTTGAAATGTCTTGTATAGGATGAGCGGGCACAGTCCCTACACCTGGCTGCAGTGTTAGGACTAACCCAAGGCATTTTGCTGCCTGCAGCAGAGTGGCACTTAAGACCCCATCCCCTAAAACCCACAGTATGTGGTATCTAAGGCCAACCAAGTTATCTTGGCACCAGAGGCAAAATAATAAAAGAATTAGCATCTCTTCCTGGCAGGAAAAGCAACAATATTAAAAAGAACTAGCAATTGGGTCCCTTTCCATGGCACAACCAGCACCCCTGCCGTCTCATGCTGCCTAGTTGCAGGGCCAGGCTGGCCTGCTGTGTTTCTGTGCACTGCTCAGTTCTGACTCCTGATTCTGCCCTTGGCTTCTGGTTTCTCTATGACAGCTGCCTCTGGCTTGGCCCTGACAGGGTCTATCCACAAACAGCTTCCAGGCAGTCAGGAATCTTTCCAAGCCTGGGTTTAATGTGTGGGTGTTGCGGATGAAGTTACTGGATTATGTGATGTCCTGGGTGCCGAATGAGGTCTTGCTGTCCCCTTTGCTCCTTGGAGAAGCTTGAATGAAGCTTGAATGAACCCCATGATGTTTATCAAAGGAAAGCAGGCAATCCGTTCTTGCCTCTGGCCTGTGGAACTAGTTGAACAAGCAAAGCTGGATGGCATAGGCAGGTGGTTTGCTTCCAGTTCCAGGAGGAGGAAGACATAAACTCACTTGATGCGTGAAGAAAACTCAGAATAGACTGGGCCACTGCCTGTTCTGGCTGGGAAGGTTTTTCAGACCAATGTTTGTTTGACTGGTGCTTCCTGTTCTCAACTGATTGGCCACGAACATTTCTCCGACACTAGGAAAATAGAGTATGCGTCACTGAGACTGGTGAAAATAAACTGGGAGGAATCACAGGCAAGTGAGAGATTATTGTTGTTGTTGTTGTTGTTGTTGTTATTAAAACATTTCTATGCCGCCCCTTGCCGAAGAATGAGGTTGGTTGGCTTCTGTTTTCACTTGAGGATATTTCTTTCAATATTCTTCTTCCAATTCCATCCAGCTACGAATCTGGGTGTTCCCTGAAGGCACTCAAAACTGTGAACCTACCATGTTGCCTTTCAAAAGCGAGGCCTTCCATTTGGCTGTGCAAGCCCAGGTGAGAACATCCAGCTTCCCTTCAGCCTTGCCTGTCACTTATCCACATATCCTCTCCACTAGAGGTGCAGAACCTCAGGCCAAATTTCTCCCTCTGGGTTTCCCTAGAATTCTGTGCATTCTGAAAGGGTGAAATGCCTCTCCTGAGGCTTAGTTGCTGGTGGTAAGAGCTTTAAAACAAAATGTGTCTGTATTTGGGGGGTTTGTCCTATCTCCCTTTCGACTTTGGCCCCACTTTCCACTTGAAGGAGGTCCCAGTGGAATTTGACCCTCAGGCCAGAACTGATTCTACATCTCTGCTCATTACCATTGCCAAGACCAAGCTCATTTTCCAAGTACCTACCAGTATACAGCCAAGATGGCATTATCCACACACAAAAGGGTTGTGTTGGCTGGACCTGGCCCAAATATTCTCAATACTTATGGTATCAGTCATTGGCCAAATCCAATGAACTTCAGGCACCAAGAAAATATTAAAAATCTTCCACTGGAAGAATAGGCTTCACCTTTTCCAGGATGTGCTGTGTGTTTTTAATTTAGTTCTTTATCGCCATTTATTATTTATTTAGTGTATGATAGGTTCATGACAAGAGGAAAAGTAAATATATACACATACAGTGGTACCTTGGCTCACAAACTTAATCCATTCCAGGACTCTGGTCATGACCCAAATTGGTTGTGAGCGAAGTTAAACTTCCCCATAAGGTTCAATGTAATAAGGTTAATCCGTTCTGTAACCATTTTTTAAATCAGAAAAATGTGAACACCCAAAGCGGTGTTTGTGACCCAAGTCAAAAATTTTCAGAAATTTTGTTCGTGACCCGATTTGTTCGTGAACCAAGGTGTTTGTGAGCCGAGGTACCATTGTAATCTGCACAAATATATACAAAACTTCTGCAGTAGCCTCATAACTGAATGTCTAATTCAGCTAACCAGGCGTTTGCCTCTGGTGTTGCTTCATGCAGATCTTCTAAGGAGCCCGGAAATGCACGTTTTGGGCATTCTTGAACAATGTTTGATAGTTTGCACATTGGCACCACAGTTGCAAAAAGGAGAATCTTCCCATCCCCGCTGATACAGAGCAGAGGCACTCCTTCCAGTATCACATCTAATTCTGTTCAATTTCATCCAGACAGAGTAAGGCAGGTTAGAGCCAGGGAGTTCTGTCTCTATGAAGACACTGCATGGCATCATTGTTCCCACACGGCTTTCTGTCTGAAGATGCTGGAAGGCGGCTGCCAGGTGCAGGGAGCAGACCTGAAGCAGCAAGTGGCCTTTATGCCCAGTTACATGAAAAGACAGAGGAGAAAACCCCTTAGCTCTGGTTAATAAAAAGTAGCAACCTTTTCTCCTCACAAAAGGGCTTTTGAATTTTATCCCACTGAAGGCAGAATCAATATTTGATAGGTATTTTTGCTGCACCACCACGAATGCCAAAAAACCCCTTTGTATCAGCAGGCTTAGGGAAACCCAGACATCTGTAGGAATTCAAAACATTTTAAAAACCACAACGGCCTAAGAGGGGGACTCTAAAAAATGTGCAATGAAAACTCAGCATGCTCAGTGTGCATGGAAAGCTAATTTTGGGGACAGGTAGGGGATGGAGTGGAATGGGAGAGGGAGAGAGAGGCTGAAACCCTGAATGGGAGCTTTCTACTGCAACCGTTTGTCACCAATTCTACCTGTAAAGCTTATAAGCCACTGTTTGATTGATGATTGCCACTGTTTTAATATATTTACTTCAAGTTCTGAATCAGATACTTTGTTAAATAAGCTGGGGTGGTTCAAGCCAGGAATACTTCCCCCACAACCAATTCCACCCTCCCCCCGACCAACTGGGCCAGCCCTCGTCAACGTGGTGCTCACCAAAAATGTTGGACTGCAACACCCAGATGCAGCTCAGGGCCTCAGGAGGGTGCCTGGCTAGGGAAGGCTGCTCCTCCTAAACCTCCGAATTATGCTGCTCCATGATCTGCTTCCTGGCTCACCCTGAACTCTGCCCATAATTTGTGGGGGTCAGCATATGCCATGTCTAGTTTGCATGATGTCCAAACCCAGCCAGTTTAGGTTATTCACAGGTAAACAGCCCAAAGATAACCAAATTGTAGGTTGCTGTTTAAAAGTCGATCTCTCCTCCTTGCGCAAGAAGACATGAGCATTGTTTAGATCATGACTATCATTATGTGTGACCAAGGTCAGCATAAGCAGCTTCTGTGTTGCTAATGCCATGTTCATTATGTGTACACAGGTGCCCATTGTTCCTGTGGTGATATCCTCCTACCAGCAGTTCTTCAATAAGAAGATCAAAAAGTTCACAACAGGTAGCTCAAGTGGGAGAGGAATGGGGAAGAAATGCACTTCTGTGGTGCTGCCTGAGGCTGGAACAAGATGTGATGAAGCAAGCACAGCTCTCCAAGCTGCCATGTTTGCGGGGCAGAATGTGCTCATTTAACCTGCCTCCATTTTCCTCTGGGTTACTGATGGCTTCTAAACAGGACAGCTATAGATTACTTCAGGGTCAGAGGCAGTATGGATTTCAATACCACTTGCTGGGCAACACAAGAATGTCAGGGTGTGGGTTGTGGGCAGCAGGGTATTAGACAGATGCACCGGGGCCCAGGCAAGTCCAGAGTCCAGTAATCAGTCCAGTAACAACTCCAAGTTGTAATCCCAAACAAGCCAAGGTCAGAACTGAGTGCAGGCTGTGGAGCAAGGTGAGGTATAGTCTGATAAGCAGAACATCAGAACAGGCCAGAGGTTAGGAACGAGTGAAACAAGGAACAGGAGCAACAAGATGCAAGCACGGGAGCAGGCGACAGCACCCTGGGGACCAGTGTTGCTGAGGCAGCTGCTAGCTAGAGGGAAGGGCCTGCCGTTGCACATCTGTTCCCCCAGGGCTCCCAGGTGGTCCTCATCAGGGCATTGGCAGCGGCAGCAGAGTCTGGGCCTGTTATCCTGGTGCTGGCTCTGGAGCTACCCAGGCCCTAACATAGAGGGAGGGTGCTGTTGTGTTCCTGCCCCACTTGTAGGCAGGGCCTGACAGACGCGTGGGCCTGACGGGCACTTGCCCATGGGCCCCGTACTGATCTGTGTATGTTAACCCTTGGGAAATTGGAAAACTTCCAAAATTAACAGTCGTTGTAGTTGTCGTAGGGGCCCCAGGACACTGCTTTGCCTGGGGCCCATAATGCTGTTAAGACGGCCCTGCTTGTAGGCTTTCTACTGGGGCATTTGGCTGGTCACTGTGGGAACAGAAAGATGGACTAGGCCAACCTTTGGTCTGTTCCAGCTTGGTTCTTGCTATGAACCTCATGGCAGCTTGCAACATACCTTAACATGGCCCACAACATAAATTCAATACGGTTTGTAAAAAAGAGAAAGTACAGAAAGCTCACAGGATAGATCAGAGGCTATAAACACTGGGCAGTCGCATTAACTGTCGGTGTAGCAGACTGAAAATGTCTTAAACAGAAGGCTGGCCCTCTCAGGAGGCAGGATCAGTGCCCCCCTCAGGCAGAGGATTGGGTGTGCCTACTTCTGGGAGATCCAGTGCTGGGTGCGTCAGAGAGCCGTTTGCTGCACCAGAAAGGAGCAGTTGTGGCTTTTCAGAGCTACAGCAGTCCCTGCTGCCGCCACCCACCTACATCTCACTCTGTGTAACGCAAAAGCACCTAGCGTGACTCTCCACAGCGCCTACCTAGCTAGATAACTAGTTCTGAGGGGTCCTTTTCCAGAGTGAGGCATGGGGACAGAGGAGACCCTGAGGACTACCTGTATCGCCACGAGAGATACTCAGAGCAAGATAGTGAGCAGCAGGTGGAGGTAGCAGCTCACGCTCCCCCAGCAGCACTGGGTGCAACAGCTCATCCGCCCCCCGCCCCCCGCACACTGGAGGCAGTTTGGCTCCTTTGTAGAAGTGACTAGGCAGGTTCCAGCTCAACATCAGAGTGTAGTAACACTCCAGGGTGTCAGTACTACTTGAGACCTTTCACAGGAACCGTCAGGGACATCACCATGACTACGGCTCCAAAACAGCACTGCCAGCCCAAAGCCTATGGTGAGGGGAACAGAGCCGCATTTGTTCTACTAGAAGGAAGGGCCCATGTTTCATGCAAAGCAGGGGACATCTGAGTTTAAGTTCATCTTCATCCCACATTTCATCACTGCTAAGTGTATGGAATATTCTGATGCAGCAGTTCCTCTGTTTTGGCCTCTTCCCAGGGGAAGTGACAATCCGGATTCTTCCACCAATGAAGACTGCAGGACTCAGTCAATCTGATGTCCCAGAATTAAGGGACTGTGTGTGGGAGACCATGCTTTCAGCTGTCCACGAGCTATCTGGAGGTCCTAGGAAGCAAACATGCATCCCCCAAGAGGAAAACAGCCAAGCAACCTAACTGGCCTCAGTGGCTGAGTCAGCACACCTGCTGGACCAGGAAAACTACATGCGATCAACCGAGATGCTAGAGCCTCTTGAAATTCTCTGTACTGTTTGTGGGCAGAGAAGCTGGGGGTGGGAGGTGGGGTCAATTCACTACATTTTTCCAGGAGGAGGAGGAGGAGGAGGAGGAGGAATTCTCCAGCAGTTTCTCAGAGTGGGGCTCACCACTAGCAGTTACTGTAACACAACTTGGTTCTTTTCCCCCAACAGAAGCGGCAACATCAGCAACTCTACCGGCAGCCTGGCATCTTTCACCATGCCCCATATGTAGAATTGTTCTGGAGCAGGCTCAACAGGGTGGGAGCAGGGAGAAAGGCAGAAACACCTTTTTTTTTAATGGAGAAAATTATTCAGAGTGGCCTTTGTTTTCTGTGGGGCTAAGAGAAAATCTCAGAACTTTTCTCAGAAAAACTTCTGTCGAGAAATTTCAGCTCCATACTAGCTGCCGTTCTTCAGGGCTGAGTGCCTTCCCAAGTGTTTTTTTGAGGACTAGCTGCATGACAGGCAGAGGCAATGATTGCCTGCCTCTCCTCACAAACACCACCCTCTGGGCCACAAGGAGGGACAGGTAAACAAGTGAGTTGCAGTGATGAAGAAGAGGAGCCACTCTGGAGACTTTTGTCACTGGGTCACTGCTTGGTATGCAGCTTTGGCAAGTCCCCCACCATGTGTATTTTTGACACCAGCCCTGTAATCTGTCACTCCCCACCACCAACTTCTCTGTCTCTTCTGAGCTTAGCTACAACCTTAACAGTGGATGAGAGTAAACTGGATTTCCCCTGCAACAAAATATTCTTGCAAGCTATCTCTGTTCTACTTGAAAATATTTTGAGGTTGCTTGGTCTAACAGGCCACTAAGACCCATAATCTTCTGATGGAGATGAAAAGTGCTGGAACTGGTTTGCTGATATGGTCTAATAGAAGTGCCTGCAATCTAATTGGGAAGGCAGGTGTGTGCGTTGTCACACCGTCACAATGACTGCCACTCTTCAAAATTTACCATGGCACCTCTGCTTATACTCCTTCTCCTTCCCCACAAGCTTGTAGTGGGTGTGATAGTGGTGGCAGTAAGAGAAAATGTTGTGTGCCCAAATTGGTCAATTAGCCTATTTTTTTTCTTCTGCCATGAAAGGGACTTCCCTTTTTCTATCTCATTCTTATTTTTTTCTTTAAGGGTATATTTGAGCTTCTTTGAGGGTGTTTGAGCTTACCTTACCATTGTGAAGTGGTTAAGAGTTCTCAGTCGATTTCGTGTGTGTGTGTGTGTGTGTGTGTGTGTGTGTGTGTGTGTGTGTGTGTGTTATAATGTACAACTGCAGCTTTTCGGCTGCCAGCACTCCCTGATCTGAAAATGCCCTGACTGGAATGAGATTAGATTAGGGAGGCCCTGAAGTCTTTAACTGGAGTGTGGGAAGCCAGGGAGGCTACCAGAGAGATTAGTATACTATGAAAGACAAGACACTCATAACTTACTCCATGGCTACCTCATAATCAATTCAAACAGAAGAACCCCAACCCTGAGAATTTCAATGAAATTACATTTGCCTTTGAACATATTTTCAAAAGTAACTTCTATCAAACAGTATGGAACACTTGGGGGGAAAAGTGGAAGACAGTTGGAAAGAATGCAAGAGCTATGACGTCCTTCCCCTATACAACATTTTCTGGGTGCATTTTCCGGCGTGAGCTCTGTTTTCCTTGTGCTTGCTCTCTCACTCATCTCCCAGTCAGCCCTGGATCTGCATCTGCTATAGAATTTGCCCCTTTCTCAGGCTCACTTGAGGAAAGGCAGGGTATTAAATGTCACCTAACAAACAACAAAGGGATGAATGCGAGAGGAGCTGTTTCTCAGAGCAGGCCGGCTGGCAGCCGTGACCAAACGAAGGCTTCCGCTGGTCCCTTGGCCACACGAACCTCATCATTGTGAGGTGAGCACCCGTTGCCACGGCAACCAGCCCCATGAAGCAACAGGGACTGCTTGGCCGGTGCCAGAGAGATCCCATTTGGAGGAGGAATTCAGAGTCTGATTGTGAAGCAACACACATGCCTCACGTATCCTCCCTTCCAGTCTTGCGCCCGCGGCCTGCGCCATTAATTCTGCCTTACAGAGCTCCACCTTACTGGACCCAGGTAAATGTGGCTCAAGCAGGGCCTGCCTAATCTATCCCTCATTCTTCTTCTCTTCTCAAAGTCTAACCCTGTTGAAGCTTGCCTATCTTTCTCAGTCTTCCACATTTGGGAGGGCCTTCCGTTAGCTACCCTTGAAACTGCCCATTCACCCCTTTCTTATTTTAGGACTCCTTATTCCTAGCCAGGTTTGGGGAAAGAATGGACTATGTTTGAGCTGGGGTGATATAACCTAGCAATTTGTGCATCTTTGCCTAGGAGGTCTGTGTTTATATGCTGTAGAGTATGTTTAACGATTTAGTTTGAAGATTTATACCTCACCCTTTAATCAAAGGATTCTCAAGGGAACTTAAAACAGGTGGCAGTAGTACACAAATGCACTCCCCCACCAACTGTCACATAAACATTCAACTCGGAAGCACTAGTCCACCGGGCCATAGCTCCTTTCTGCACTGTAGCAGCGCAGCATGCATCATATCTATTATTATTTTAAAAATGGGAATAAGATGCAAATTTACATAAAATTGCATATATACATTACAGAGAAGCACATTCAGAAAGAGTAACTATCAGATAAATAGGAATAGCCTATATCTCAACAGTGGTGGGAAGGCTATGAACAAGGAATGTGTGTGTCTGCTGCAGGGACCAACCGAGGGTGGGCAACTTTAAGGCCCTGCCTGGTTGGTCTCCCTTCTTATGGTTCATTAAATTTTCAAAGTAGGCCTGGCCTGGGAGCCATTCAAGTAAAGGATTTTTTCTAACAGAGGTATCTCCTCTGGCAGCCCTTCAAGGAGTGGAATATCTTTTCAAAAACGTAGGCCACATGGCCATCACAAGCACCTTCTTCAAAGTGCCCCTATAGTAATAGCAGTAGGAAGAATCCTGTCAAACAGCAGGGAGGAACAAGATTCTCCAAAAAACTGCCTGAAAGGGGATAGCTGAGTCTCTGGAGCTCCTCAAAGTGCAGCAAGGTAATTTTAGACCTTGGACTTGAGATACAATCCTTAATGCCCCATGCTGGGGCTTGTCGGGAATTGTAGGACTTTTTTCCATCTAAAGGTGTATGGGATCGCACCCTTAACAAACTTATGAAGGGCTCATTTATAATACTTCAGTTGTGAAGCACAGAACTAATACTTCCTTTCCCCCCACCCTTATTCTAGAGTAAAAAACTTGTTTGCTAATTCTTATTTAAAAGATGAACAAACTCTGAGTATATACAGTTTTTAATTTTAAACAGATATAATGCACAATGCCACTGTGACTCCCCTGACATATTTCCTTGGAAATAATTGCCATTTTGTCATAGAACAAATGTATATATTTTAAATTAATAGTCATAAAATGATCACCTGTAGCAATATCCATGACCAGTTGGCTGCACCCTGACCAAAATAAAAAGAGAGCATGTTGCACTGAGCAGCAGCATCTTTAATAGGCTTCAGGATTCCTGTGCAGAACCAAGTGACAGTGCCAACCCTTGCTACTTTCTGGGTGGTCCTGAGGTCCTGGCCTTTGCTCTGGTGGAGTGACTGATGGCAAGGAGGATGAGTATGAACTGTTGAAATATGCAGTGCTCAGCAACACAGGGCAGGCAGGGATAAAGGTTTTTGGCCAGTCTTACAAGAAGTTTAGGTCTATAAACATTCAAAATGGCAACATATACATTCTAAGTTGTGATATTTTACATGTCATAATTTCTGCAGTTGATGTTTTTATCATCCTTCGCTTTCCATCACAGTTGCCACCTGCAAATTTTGTTTCCAAAAATACCATCAAAAAGTGGATATTGTCAGATGAGTAACAAGCTACTTCCAGCTCAAGTTCCAAATTAGCACTTGCAGATGTTGAAATTTGCTATGAGGGGGAAGAAATTTTAGATTTGTTAAGTGTCTTTCAACTTCAGTTAAGATGTGAGATTGAGCAGGAGTTTGGTGTTCAACTTGTGACACCTGTCACAGCATCTTACCAAATGAAAGGGTCTGTTCTGCAATACCCATCTATCTAGTTTTCTCCCTCCCAGCTCAGATCATGATGTCCTTGATCAGGGTCCTCCAATCCTGCACTTCTCTGCTTTGTCCTCTTATTGCATTGTGGTGGGTCCTGCCCTGTTACATTACAGCAGCATTGCCACGTGTTGTTGGATTTCTTCCTTGGCAGCTGAATCCCAGCCATGGCACCACCCTCCCATCTGCTGACAGGCCAGGTTGGTGCGGAGAAATGGCACAAGGACGCCCACTCAACAGTGCAAGAAACGACCAAGTTGACCAAGCGCTGTGGCAAGGAGGCGCTTGAGCTGTGGTGTCCAGCCCCAGCCCCAGGCCAGCCTGAGGAGACACCTTATGAGCACAAGATGAAGACTGACTCCTGGAAGTTCAAAATGGATGTCTTAGCAACTGGAGAGGTGACAAGGAAGCCCCCTGAGGGACCAGGGGTAACCTTATGGAAAAGCAAAATCAAGCCTCCCCCATGGGTCTGCAAACTGGCCTTGCCATGCTTCCGAGATTACAGCAATACCAAGAACAATGAATTTGTGGCCAAGTACGTCAGGGATACCCGCCTGGTGGTGAGTCGTCTGCGCCAGGCTCTTGTCGAGATTAATGAGCAGTTCAAAGGGATGGTGCGTATGCGAGAGAGGCTTGATGCTATGCTGGACAAAATTCGCCAGGGCCTTGTGACCAACAAACAAAGCCAAGTCATTCGGGAACACCGTGCAGAATCAGAGAAGGTGAGACCCCCACATCAAGTCCATGTGCAGGCCCAATGAACAATCCTTCTGTTACTACCCAGCCAAGCTGACTCACTTGCATGAGGCCAAGCACTGAATTGTACTGAGCAAGTTGGCTTGTGGTTCCCATTCATTTATTTGATCTATATCCTGCCTTTTTCATTTCAAGGAACTCAAAGCAGCTAACATTATTCTCCTCCTGCTGCTCTCCATCTTATCCCCACAACAACAACCCTGTGAGGTAAGTTGGGTGAGAGTCTGTGATTAGCCCAAAGTCACCCAGTTGGCCCCATGGCTGAGCAAGGACTAGAACCCAGATCGCCTGAGTCCAAGGTTCTTCACCATTACACTACACAGACTCTCAGCTACCAGTAAGTGGACCTGAGCCAGTATTTATTCTAAACCCATGACCCCTGTAGGTCAGTATTTTTCACCTTTCATCCCAAGGTACTGTAATCCTCTCCAGAGCAGTAGTTTCTTGCTGAGAGCTACAACGCCGTACAAGGAGCTTCCAGCTGGCTGCCCCATCCATGAAGATGTCTGTGTAAATGAGGAAAGCCTAGGCTCCCCTATTTCCCTCCCTTGGGCAACTTGTACCCTTCAGATGTATTGGCCTACTTCTGTCAGCAGGAGCCAGCACAGCCAACAGTAAGGGCTGACGGGAGTTGTAGGCCAAAACATCTGGAAAGCCACAAGTTGCCCACTCCCGCTCTCAACAGCCCATTTTGCAAGTATTCTGGCTGATCTTGTCATCATTCCATAATCACCATCAATCTCCCTGCTCCCTGTTGTGCAGGTTCCTGATAAAGTGGATGCATTGATGAAATGGGAGAAGGAGGAGTTTCAGAAACAGAAAGCCAAACTGGAGGGGATGATGGCAATGTCAGAAGACCATCTCAAGGTAGGAAACAAGGCAGGGACTGAAGGTGTGTCTCACAATCCATACAGGCAAGGAGGGCAAACCAGGTGGACATCATCACATGAAGAAGGGATGAGAACTTTGGCTCTGCAGTCATCACATTCAAATCCCGTTTTTTGCGTGTACTGAAGGGAAGGTAAAAGAAACAAAATACATTTTCTGCAAAGGGGGAATGTCATAATATCCTGGGAGGTGAGGCTCTGAACGCACTGCTGGTAATCTTCATGGAACAGAGTTGTGGAGCTGTCTGGGGCCTTGAAGGCAAGCATGAGCACCTTGACTTGAGCTCTGAAGGCAGCCAAGTGTAACTCCTCCAGAAGTGTCATAGTACATTTTCCCTGGCTACACCCATAAAAACCCTGGCAGTCCAAGCTGAAGCTATTAAATTGTCCCCACGGGTAACTTCATGTAGAATGTTATAACAATCCAATGGCAGAGCATGAATCACTGCGGCCAGATGATCCCTGCCTAGGAATGCTTGTATCTGGTACGCCAACCCACAGATCCCCCACCCCCTTTGCCCCAGGCTTCAAGGGACAACGCTGAACTGAAGAGTGCTTCTAAGCGACGTACCTGCTTTTGGCAGGGGTAGGGTCAACTCTGTCTAGAACAGGTTGCACACCCATTTCTTGCACATGAGAAACACACACAAACCCCAGCTCAGAAGTGTTTAAGTCCTCCCCACAGAATATCTTCCCACAGTACCTCTATCTTGTCAGATTTCAATTGTAGCTTACAGGCCTTTGTCTAAACCGTTACCAGATCGAGACACTGGTCCAGCCCCCTGCCTGGCTTCACCATTTAGCTCAGATGACAGAGAGCACTAGGTGAAACTCCAGACTCTCTGATGAGCTCACTCAGTGGCTTCACAGGTATTAAAAGACACGAGGGGCATTCGTTTTATAATAATGGCCTTCAAGCTAAGAGGCATTGTACGGAGGAAAATGAAGTTGGGTGGGAAGGGGAAAATGAACAAATTCCGATACATCAACTCTTCCATACTGTTATATGGTAAAACTACATTATGAAGGCCACTTGGTAGTTGGCAAGTGCACTAACAGTTAAGGGGATCTTACTGTTTTCCATCTTCCTCTGCTACAGCCAAGGAATGGTAAATAGGAATGGCATTTTTAAAAGGTCTTAAACAAAGGAAGGCTTCGGCAATTATGGGCGGCCTATAAATATATGTAAAATAAATAAGTGGAATTAGACTGCAGGCTTCTATTTCTTGGAGATATAAAATGTGTGGTGAAAGTGTAGTTTCTTGACTTCTCCCTCATACCTCCCCTCCTTGTTGCAGGCACTGGGAACATGCAGGCAAAACCTGAACACGCTGTGTGGAGAACGTGGCCGTGTGCTGGACCTGGTGCCACAACCGCTGCGCACGGTTCTTCTAGGGGCTGGGCGTGATTCCTGGCTTGGACTGAGCCGGCCCTCATCCCCCTGGGTGGAGCGAAATGAGACACCGCAACCTGACCCCATTGGACCCTTCACTCCAGGTAAAGAAAAAAGCCCTTCCCCAAGAAGAAAAAAGGAAGCCACAAATGCATAATAAGGCGGCTTCTTGGACACAATATGGAGTATGAATATGTACCCTATTATTGTGATATTTGTGAGCATACATTTTTGCAAATTTGCAAAAAACAGTATGCAAGAGCAAACGTCACATAAAGATCAAAATGAAATGAAGGAAGATCAGACTTGAACACAATGGGGAAAGGGGTTCTGTCCTTCTTTTTTTCATATCCCACATTTCAGCCAAGGTGGATTGTCAAAGTAGCTTACGGTTACAACAGAACCTATTCCAAAAACGCCAAATTAAATGCTAAGCACACATTGGCATAAGCGTAGTAGTCGTCTCTCCTGGCCCTTGATTATATAATTCAGATTCCAGGTTTTTCTCTTCCGGAGGTAGGGAGCAGTAGGGGCTGCAAATGGATTTGAGGCCCTGTGATGGTAAAGGTGCCAACTCACAGAAGCAGCTATTCTACTGTAATATGTGCTGCTGGTATGGATCTGTCTAAGCACCAGCCAAGGGAAAATGGTGTCGTGGTAAAGGTGTATCTGTGGCATCTCAAAAATATGACCAAGCCTAAATTCTCACAGCCTTTAATTCTCTATTGTGTGGTTCAAAGGCAAAAGCACTGGCTGAAGTCAGAAGAAGAAATCTTTCTTAGAATAGGATAGATTATGTAAGGGAAAGCATGTCAGAAAATATTCCCCTGGCAAAGAAAAGTGACTTCAGCTGGCATCTGTGTGTGTCAAACTCTGAAGAATTGAACAAACCGACCAGATCTGAGAAGGGCTCACCTTTTCTCTCCCATTTGCCCCTCCTGCCCTCCAGAGTGTGCAGCAGCTCTAGAAGAGGCCCGACGCCTCACTATTCTTACCAAGAAAGTGTTACTTCAGTTGCAAAAGGCCCTTGATGAGGCACAGGACGTACGCAACACAGCGCACACCACCATTGAAAGCAGCCTGCAAGGCAAGAGAGAGGAGACTCTCACTCATAAGGTAATGAAAGACCCAGTGTCCTCATTTCAATATTTGGTGCATCATGTACGAAGTCATTTTTCCACACTTGTGTAGAACCAACGGTTAACCCCCAACTTTATTTTTGTTTTTACAAATGTGTATTTAATGAGCCCTTGTGCCCCTTAAGATCTGCAGGAGAGGCTCTGCTCTGCGAACCCTCAATGAAAGAGGCAAGGATGGTCTCCACCCAGAGGAGGGCCTTTTCTGCAGTGGCGCCCAGACTATGGAATGCGCTCCCCAGAGAGGTTCGCCTGGCGCTGACTTTATTTATTTATTTAATTAATTTATTAAAACATTTTTATGCTGCCCCATTCGCCGAAGCCTCGGGGCGGCTTACAACAAAAAATTAAAATAACATTTTAAAATATATACATTAAAATACAAATATATGATATAAAACATACAGTATAAAACAAGCCGCCCTGGCCAGATAAAATTCAATAATATTAACATTTAAATAAATTAAATTTAAAATACTGCTTAAATAAAAAGGTCTTCGCCTGGCACCGAAAAACAAATAACAACGGCGCCAGGCGGACCTCTCTGGGAAGCGCATTCCATAACTTAGGCGCCACCACTGAGAAAGCCCTCCTCCGAGTAACCACCCTCCTAACTTCTTCCACGGAGGGCTCCCAGAGAAGGGCCTCTCCCGCCGATCTCAGGGGGCGGCTGGGCATATATGGATGTAAGCGCTCCTTCAGGTAACCAGGACCCAAGCCGTTTAGGGCTTTATAGGTCATCACCAACACCTTGAATTGGGCCCAGACTTCAATGGGAAGCCAGTGAAGCTGACGGAGAACTGGAGTCATGTGAACATAACGTCCAGTCCCCGTCAGCAGCCTGGCAGCTCTATTTTGAACCAATTGAAATATCCGGACCGTCTTCAAGGGTAGCCCCACGTAGAGCGCGTTACAGAAGTCAAGACAGGAAGTCACCAATGCATGTGTCACTGTCGCAAGGCAGTCGTTCTCCAGATAGGGGCGCAGCTGATGAATCAGCCGAAGCTGGAGGAAAGCTCTCCTCGCCACTGCTGTTACCTGAGCTTCCAGTGAAAGCTCCGGGTCGAGGAGCACTCCCAAGCTGCGGACCTTGTCCCTAAGAGGGAGTGCAACCCTGTTCAGGACAAGGTTCAATTCACCCTCTCCGAAGCCCGATCCGCCAACCAACAGGACCTCCGTCTTGTCTGAATTGAGCTTCAGTTTATTGGCCCTCATCCAGCCCATTACCTTGGCCAGGCACCGGTTCAGCACAGCCACTGCCTCACCTGGATTGGTGGAAAACGAGAGGTAGAGCTGGGTATCATCAGCGTAGTGGTGATTCCGCAGCCCACACCTCCTGATGACCTCTCTCAGCGGTTTCATGTATATGTTGAACAGCAAAGGGGACAAAATGGTACCCCTGTGGTACTCCATGGCATAGCTGCCATGGCACAGAGCCATAGTCCCCCAGCACCACCTGCTGGAACCGGAATCTATTTTAACTATTCGCAGTTGCATTTTGCTTTTGCTTCTTTGCTTCTGTTTTTACTTTGTTTTTATTGGTGAGATGTTATTGTTGGTTTTATGCATATTTTTAATTATTGCTAATGCTTGGATTGTTTGTTTTGATCTTTGTAAGCCGCCCTGAGACGCTTTTGCATATAGGGTGGGGTATAAATATTTTAAATAAATAAATAATGCCAATCTATCTAAATAAACCATGTTATTCCACATGTTATTCCAAGTGTGTGAGCACTGGTGAGATGTAATCTGCTAGCATTTCTCAGATGCAATGAAACTGTTGCTCCCCTTTAGATTTTTCATGCATAGAAATCTGAGTTTCACACATATTCGTCACATGCTTAAACCATGCTGCTTTTTGTACATATTCACACAACTCCTACAGTCCTTACAAATGGTTTTTTTGGGGTTGTTTGTGGAGCAGAAAGTCAATGGAAGAAAAGCCAGGGGCACCTTTCAACTGTTTTCCCCACACATGGCTGCCATTGCAATGGGAGAAAAACTCGGGTTTGGTGATATGCAACTATGTCAGGGCTTAATCAGGAATTGGAGACTGGTAGCAATCTGGCTCAGTGACTCCTTTGTTTTCTCTCCCTGGCAGGAACGGTTTGACATGGCCCTAGGAGGAACACGTAGCACCCTGCACCGCTGCCAGCGTTTCCAGCATGAGATGTTTATCACCCGGGGAATGACCCTGGTGAGCCATTAGAACTGGAGGCAACATTAGTTTAATTCCCAGCCTTTGCCCCCTTCAGCCTTGGCTGCTTGGAGATTAATTGGGGAAGAGCTGTTCTCACTTTTCTGCCTACTCTCAGAACCCATCACTGATTGTAATTATGTTCATGCCCACAGGGCCCTGAAAGTAGCAAGTACCTAGAGACACGGGAGAAGCTGACCCGGCCACTGGTGCGGGTGTACCAAAGACATGTTGGAACACAGCTGCCTGAACCGGCGATCCTCAACCAGGTAAAAGGCAGTAGGGACAATGCAGGTCTTCAGGTGGGGCAGATGATGATGATGATCATGATGATTACATTTCTATACCACTCTCCTAGGGCTCTCTGGGTGGTTTACATTTCCAAAATAGATATACAACAATAAAACAGATATACATTTCCAAATACACTGAAATTTCAGGTACATTTTAGGAAATCCCATTCATGGAGTGTGACACAATCATTGCCTTACAAAGATACTGGTGACATTGCTGTCTGGCAGAATATTGCTTAGTTGCCTCCTTTGAGCAGTGGAAGTTAAAAGACACAAGCTGTCTTATATGGGATTACTGCTCTATACCTTTGCAGTTATGCTATGGGATTCCACAAGGTTCAGTTTTAATCTCCACACATTTCAAAAACAACATGAAACCACTAGATGTGATCTGCAAAGATGGGCTGAGGTGTCATAAATATGCATGTAACATCAGTTCTACCTCTCCTTTTTATCAAATTCAGGTGAGGTAGTGAATGTTCTGAATTAGTTCTGTGGTACAGTAATGGATTGCATGAGGGCCAAATAAACTGAAATTCAGTCCAGACATGGCAGAGGCATTGTTAGTGGGTAGATGAGATATTCAATGTGTTTTAGGGATGGCTGCATTCCCTCTAAAGAGTCAGGTTCATAGTTTGGGGGTATTTTTGGATCCAACATGATCACCAGAGGAGTTGATTGCACACAACACCTTTGATAAGCTTAGTCTGATATGTCAACTGCACCATTAATCGGACAGAGATAGCTTAGGTAGTTATTCATGCTCTGGTAACCTCTCAGTTGCATTACTGTAATGTGTCATACCTAGGCTGCCTTTGAAAATGGTCTGGAAAATTCAGTTGGTCTGAAGCAGGGCAGCAAGATTGTTAAGAGGTACTGGCCAGTGTATAATATTAGGCCAGTGCTTTATTATCTGCACTGGCTGCCTGTCCATGTCCTGGCCCAATTCAAAGTGCTGGTATTAACATGCAAAGCCCTCAAAAGCATAGGTCCAGGTTACCTGAAGGATCATCACCTGCCATATATACCTGCCCAGACCCTAAGACCACTCTGCTGGAGACCTTGACAAAGAAAGTCAGGTGGGTGAATACTATGATAGCTTTCTCTTTGTGGCAACCTGGCTATGAAATGCGTATCCCAGAGTGGCTTGCTTGGCACCTTCATTTCTGGTACCAGATGAAGGCATTTTCCCAAAAATTTTAGTTTCAGTCTCTGTTTTAAATAATTTACTCTGTTTAAATCTTTGCACTGCTGCTACAGCTTACTCTGGTTTTCAAACATTTACATTTTTATATTGGTTTATGCTGTATGTTATGCCAAGAGAGCTTCAGTTGTGGGCTGGTACAGAAGTGTAATAAAGAAATAAATGGTGAACCATGATGGAAAAGAGAGAACATGTTTCAGGATGGTCTTGAAAAATTAATGTTGATGTTTTCTAAATTATGAAATAATGAACTTTTCCACTGGGTTATTTTGGATGTTGTCCATCTCTAAACCTTACAGTGAACCTAGCTCAGCTAGACCAAAGTTATCTCATGTGGTTGGTAATGGTTCTCCAGGGTCTCAGTGACAGACAGATCTTGTCCAGCCTTTCTAAGAATCCTTTCTATCTGGACATTACACTGGAGAAACCCAGGATTACATCTGGAAGTTTACATACATGAAGTCTGACTTCTACCACTGAGCTAGATGATGGTCTCAAACAGCTACCTCCCTGGATGATTAGGCTACCTAGCCTAATACTATCTACTTTGACTGGCGGCAGTTCTCCATGATCCCAGTTCGAGCTTCTTTCCTACCTTTCCTACATAAGCTTCTTTAATTGAAGGTAGCAGGGACTGAGCCTGGGAACTTTATATACATAGAGCAGTAACGGTAGGTAAAATCTCAGGTGCCAGATTGCATGGTCTTTTCCACAGTTGAACCTGGTCCTTAAAAGAATTCGAAAGTTTTCTTAAAGGGCTAGGTTCTTGAGTAATTGAAGCCCAGTCTTATCTATGTAAGTCCCACTGGTAGGTTTCCAAACATAGCTGATGGGATATACTCCCATTGAAACTTAATTCTCTAAGTGCACAACCTTGGACATAAGCATCAACCTATTTAGAACAAGTGCCATTACAACAGGAGTGGGCAACACATGGCCTTCCAGATGTATTGGCCTACACTTTCCATCAAACTTGGCTATCATAGCCAGGGAAAAAATGGTGCCCAATCCTATGCCTGGACTGCAGCCTAAGCATTTAAAAAAATTTCTAAAGGGAAGTACTTGGTCAGCTCAATATGATGCAAGCCAAACTTCTGGATATGAAACTGACAGATAGGGACATCTTCAGCTCCCAGACAGCACCTTACCTTCTCTTGCTTCCCTCCCTAGTCCACTGCAGAATTAGATCGCTCTATAGAAGATACAGCTGATAATATCCAGCAACTAGAAGCAACTCGGCGTTACTTGCGTGAATGCATTCATGATAAACAAGCAGGCTATGATGTTGATGGCAGTATTAAACGGCTGCGACAGCGCCGAATGCAGCCTCGCACCAACATGAAAGAGGTACTTGAACTGGTCTACACCTAAGAAGCATACCAAATGAATACAGAGCGCATAAAATAAAGAGCAGGATGCCCTAGACTGGCACAGAAGAATTTCTTCCCAACTGGTGAAGAAGGAGTAAAGGACTGTTTGTAATGGAAGAGTGGAATACTAAATACAAACTTTAAACACAAAGTGCACTAGCTTGCCTAGAAATGTAATAATCTCATCTTGAAATTAATACTGTAATATATAGTAAGTTTCTGTCCTTCATGACACCTGTAGTGGAAAATAGAATCCCATTTTTCTCTTAAGGGGAGCCTGACTGCATAATCTGCAAAGATTCATGAATACTGTTCAATTTGAGAATCTACTCAGCAATTCAAATCTGTAATGTCACAGATTCTGTTTTACTGGTGGCAAAGTTCTATCTGCAGCAGCACACATAGGAAAATGAGAAATCTTCTTGCTTTCCTCAGCAACTTAATCAGTTTTAGGTGCTGATACCTTGCAAGCCTGCTCTTCAATATTAAATGATGGTATGATCTGTGTTGCCTATTCAGGCTTGGCATTAGCACACAGTGTCTTTTGTATCTGTTAGAGCCCAAGCTCAGGCACACTGCTAATCCTGCCTCAAACTCTCCTTTAAAAAGTGAACAATACCCAAAGCACTAGGTGGTTGTGAGTAGCCATGTTAGTTCCCCACTGTGCCCCTGACATTGTTCCAGGGCATTGAAGGAAATACATGATGGCTTGTACATACTCATTGCTGACAAGTGAGCACACCAAGGCTCACCAGCTTAGGAGAGGGCTCCCCAGACAGCACCCACATTGCAAGTGGAGGCCTACTAGAGGACATTTTGCCATAGGACCCCTCAAAGCAGCCCGTCAGTCACAACTCTATGCATACATTTGGTAATGTGACAAATTTATCGAAAAAAATGAACAACTGCCTGGCAAAGCTCTAAACTATAGGCCTGCAAGAGGTTCTCTTCAGGAAAATAAAAGAAGAAATGGGGGAGCCTGGGCTGTGCTGATGGTGAACAGTGAAATAAATATGCATACCCAAAAGACAAGAACCAAATCTGTTCAAAGTCAGTAAAGTTCCAAAAGTGTGGATTAGAGAGTGAATAGAACCACTGCCAGTACAGAAGGTCACAACTGTATGAGGCAAAGGCAGCAGCTGATATATAGGCTGGGAGTAGTGGATTGAGAATTTACGTGTGGCGGTGCATGGCATAGAAGTCACCTGACTGTTACTGAAACAGTTGTGGGTATGCAAGGAGTTTGGCAAGGGCAGGCCAATACCAGAGAGAATCTATGTGGAGAGAATTTAGAGTACAACCAAATTATAACGATTTAAAATTAAGGCTTCAATAGCAGGAATGCCTGTTCATGAGATGGTGATGACAGCACTGGAGGGAATGGGGGTATTTGTGCATCCAATGAGACTTCTACGTGGCCTAATCAATTCCATTATATACATAGTTCTTTATATATAACCTGAAGCAAACCCAACCGCAGCAGGTCGCATGCTTGGACGTATTTCCAAGGTACTGCAACTCTTGAAGATAGCTGTTCCTCAGTCTGGCACCCCGGCGATCTTGGACTACAACAAGCGTAGCTGAGTAAGGGCACAAAAGAGAGGCTACAAAAGGACTCTTCTTTAAAGGGGGAAAAATGGAATGTAACCCAGCACAAACCTTGCAGCCGCCATGCTAAAGCGGAAGCGGAAGGAAAGCAACCCAGAGCTTCGCATGCGCAGAATGTAAAGTCTACGGAAAGAGTCCGCAGTAGGGGAATAATCGCGCATGCGCACAGCGTGGCCGGAAGCCGGTAGCCCGTGGATAAGACTCTGGGTAGCCCCGCGCGTGGCCCTTTTCTGCCTAAGCCAGCGAGCGCGACGCGGGGCGGGGAGCGAAGATCCTCCATGTGAGCCTCTGCCGCGTGGGGAGGGGGCGCGGGCTTGGTCGCGGGGCGCCGTTCGCGCGCGTGTGGCGGCGGGAGACAGATCGACCCCAGGGCAGGCTGGAAAGAAAAGAGCGCCAGGCGGGGAAGGGGAAGAGGAAGGGGGCCGGGCGGGTCTTGCCCTCGGGGCACGTGCCGGCGGAGCAGGGCGCGCGGCTGAGGCGGGGGGCGAAGCTGCTGCAGGCGAGCGGGCCGGAGAGTCGGTGGGTTGGTCGGGCGCCGCGCGTCTGCGGCCGGGTCTCCACGTGCGCGGCTGCCGCGCGTTCTTCCTGCACGGGCCTGCCGTGAGAGAGGGGAGGGCCCGTTTCATCTCCCGGAGCTGATCTGTAGGGATGCTTTCCTCGTTCTGGTGCTTTATATGTGTCAGACTGCGACTCCGAACGTTCCCCAGCCAAATATGCTTTAGGGGAAAGGCGGGATAAAGCTGTAAAGGCTCAATCCTATGCAAGTTTAAGCAAGAAAATACCCTGAACTATTTTTTTGGAAAGGAGCAAGGCTAGCCATAGCGACCCTCCACCCTGTCCAGGTTTGCAAGTCGCTACTACCTTGCCTCATTATTGAAATATTCAAATTTATTGGTTTGGTTGTATCATATATAATGTAAACTGTAACCACCCCCTTTTTCCTGTTACCAAATATGTGACCTTGCCTTTTCTCCAGTAGTCCCAAAAGAGAAAGAAAAGGCCTAGCCACCTTCCAGGGAAGAGAAAGGCACAGTCACAAACTTCCTTGCTTTCTCCAACAGTAGGGCCTCTGTAGCTATATAGAGGTGTTCAAAATCCCATTTACCTCTCTATATGCAAATTGATAGTGGTGTTGTGCTGTATAGCACTGCCTAGATAAGCATATTTGATATAGAGCCCCACCTCCTTTATTATTATTTCATTTCTGTACTTCCCCACAGTCAAAAGCTTTCTGGGCAGTTTGCAACAATCCATAAAACAGTTGATAAAAACACAATAAAAATATAAAATCATAGGGGGAAACAATTCAAAAGTTTAAAACTGCTAAAAATGGATGATAAAGACAGGCACCAGTAAAGAATAACAAAAGGTGGCCCCGAAACATCTGGTGATCTCCCTTAAGGCCCTGGGTGCCAAGTAAGTCTTTAAAGAGGAGGGCTGGCTTGACTTGGTGCCAAAAAAATGACAGATTTTCCACAAATTGGAGGTGCCACCAAGAAAGCCACTTTTTGCCGCTCTGCACTCAGAGGAAGGCCCCAGAGGTTGAGCATTCATGCAAATGACATAGAAGTTTGCAGATGGGAGGCCTGTGCGCATACAGGGTGTCACTTAGACCTGGTGAACAGCAGCAAGGAATCCATATGCCATCTGAGTTTTTGAAGAGCTGGAGGCAGGATCTAATGGTTCTTCATCCCATCTTTAGAATGACTGACTGGGAGACTGCTCCTGCTGTGGCAGAGACACCTGACATTAAGCTGTTTGGAAAATGGAGCACAGATGATGTGCAGATCAGTGACATCTCCTTGCAGGTATGCGAAGACAGGATGTGCATGAACTGGCAATACTTTACAGCAGTGTTGTCTTCTGGCTGAGTTTGTGGATGAGGGAGGCTTGCACGGCTCCCTCTTGAAGTTCCTTTCGTCTAATACCTGGCCTTATGCTTCTGCAGGATTACATAGCTGTGAAGGAGAAATATGCAAAGTATTTGCCCCACAGTGCTGGCCGCTACGCTGCCAAGCGCTTCCGCAAAGCCCAGTGCCCCATTGTGGAGCGTCTTACCAACTCCATGATGATGCACGGACGCAACAATGGCAAGAAGCTCATGACTGTGCGCATCATCAAGCATGCCTTTGAGATCATCCATCTGCTGACAGGAGAGGTGAGTGTGGGAAGGGGGCGCATGCATGGGCACAAGAGGAAAACCTTTGTAGGAATGAGATGGACAGCATGTGAGGCAGGTTCTTGATCCTGAAGAACGGGCGAAAAGGACATGAATTAGGAAGCACCAAAAAGAAACATTGGTAGTTTGATTGAGATCTAGCCATGCACAGTGAACCACAATTTACATATAACTACAGCAAATATTGATTGGGTACTAACATTTTATTAGTCTTCTCAACTGACAGCTGTCACCTCATGCAGGCAGTGTGTTCTGGGAGTAATAGTCTGCTGTGTTTTGTGAAAGGCCATTGGTCCAACCCCCTGCTGTTGCAGGACTCCAGTTTATACCATTCCACTCAGATGACTGTCCAGTTTCTTAGAGCCCCATGACTTCCCTTAGGCAGTTGGTTTCACTGTTATATCACTCTGACAGTGAGGAAACTACCTGATATCTAGCCTGAATCTGGTTTGTCACAACTTCAGCTGATTATTCCATATCCTACTGTCTGGTATGAGCAAGAAGAGAGCATATCTTTCCTGTTTGTGACAGCCTGTCAGGTATTTATAAAGTGATATCATGCCCCCCCGCCCTCAGTTTTCTCTCAAGGCTGAACATTCCCAGTTCTCACAGTCTCTCATAAGGCACTGTTTCCAAACCCTAGATTATTTTTGTCCCCTGGACGCTTTCTAATTTTTCTGCATGAAAGTATGGAAGATCAAAATTGCCTCCTGTGATCTCTGGACTTGCCCATTGAATAATCCCATTACTGCTTCATATTAGAAAGCAAACCAAACTGACTTGCAGCTGAGTTGCTTCATTTTGAGGAGCCACCAGTGCTGTGGACCTGAATCAGTCAAGGAGAGGAAGCCCCAGGTTTCACACACATCAAAATAGCTTTAGAGCATTGTTTAGCTTGAACATCACAGCTGAGCTGCAGATTTTTCACCTGAGCAAGGTATCGGTTGTGCCATTGTGAGTGGGCTACTACATGTTACGTTTCTGAGCATTGCACTGATACTGGTCAAAGTAGAGGTTTGTAGTCATGCTTTGCAGTCTAACGATCAAAGTACTGTCAAATGTACTTGTTGCAGCCATGAGATTACTCAGAGTTAGCCTGGCCAGATGCTCACCATTTTGCAGCTGTGGTCTGGCATATGTTGCATTTATGTGTTAGCTGCACAAGCCGCCTTGTCTGACATTAAGGGCAAGGGAGATTGGTAGGAACTGTTACC